TTCATTTTCGTTTATATAATGCTTTAGAGTCAATTCTGATAGAGATATAGGACTCTGGTGCTGAAAGATTTGATTTTTAATTTATTAGATGGTGTATTATTGTGTGAACAAGATTGCTTGAAGAAATGGGTTTTGTGGTTTGTGTTGGTAATGCATCTCTTGTCTCTGTGTTTTGCAAACCTCATCACGTTGAAGAGAGCACCAGTGATAGGGATGATGATGATGCTAAAGAAGAGAGGTTGTCTTCTTCCTCTTTGTATCCTTTAGAGTCAAGGAGACAAAGCAAGGAGGAGAGTTCTCTAGGGGATATGTTTCAGGACGTGCTGCCTTTTAGTCCTTCAAGTGGCCAACTTGTTGGGTTTGTAGACTGGCAAAAGTGGAGATCATGTATGCTTCTATGACCGATCACTTAATCCAAAACTTCACTTTATGGTCTTGTTTCTCAAAACTCTTTTGTGTGTTTTGTGTTGCAGAGTTTGTTGTTCATGTGCTAGAAAAATCTATAGCAAGGTACAAACCAAAACTATAAAACAAGTCCTTTAGATTTCTTTTACTTAAGAAAGCTCTAATGGTTTATATGTTACAGTGCCATTGCCATCCAAGGAAAATCTTCAGAAGGACTTCTCCAGCTCTGTTGTTCCACGCAGCTCTTCATCTTGATGCTCTAGTGAAATTTTAAGGTGTGTNGTGCTAGAAAAATCTATAGCAAGGTACAAACCAAAACTATAAAACAAGTCCTTTAGATTTCTTTTACTTAAGAAAGCTCTAATGGTTTATATGTTACAGTGCCATTGCCATCCAAGGAAAATCTTCAGAAGGACTTCTCCAGCTCTGTTGTTCCACGCAGCTCTTCATCTTGATGCTCTAGTGAAATTTTAAGGTGTGTCCATTATTTCTTTTCTACAAACAAAAATTTCACAAGTTTTATAATATATTAATTTTTTTAATTCTTAAGGACTCTTAATTGGGTAACACCATTGGACAAATATTTTTGATGAAGATCCTTAACTATTTTCTTTTTAAAAAAGAAAAAAAATATTAGGCTAAGGACTCCAATGGTGGTAACACCATTGGAGATGCTCTTAGAGAAGGATTTGAAGAGGCTGATCCTTGTCTATGTGGCAGCCGCTTTCGAAGGGTTTCACGTGTGTTAAAAAAAAAATCAGTTTAACTTTTCATCAGAAAAAAAAACAGAGCTCTGGCGATATCAAAAGAGAAACTCAACTAAATCTCTTCTCCTCTCTCTCCTCATCGCTTGATCTTCTTCATCAAGCTCCGAATAACTAAATCTCCTCTCCGATGGTGGTGATCTATGGTGGTGATGATAGACGTTGAAGGAAGTTGATGAGTGTTGGAGGAGGGAGGAGGGATGTGACGTCGGTGCCGATGTTGAATCCGACGAATGGGTCTTTGTCTTGTTGTTGGGTGTTGATGATGGGTTGTGATAAAGGTGAAGACTTTTCTGCTGGAGAAGAAGTTTCGAGATAGAAAGTTAGAGGCTTTGTGGTTAAAGATCTGAGCTTTGTAAAGTGACAAATGAGCTTATCGGGAATTAATAGGTTGAAGATTACAATGAATGGGAGAAGAGAAGGGACNCGACGAATGGGTCTTTGTCTTGTTGTTGGGTGTTGATGATGGGTTGTGATAAAGGTGAAGACTTTTCTGCTGGAGAAGAAGTTTCGAGATAGAAAGTTAGAGGCTTTGTGGTTAAAGATCTGAGCTTTGTAAAGTGACAAATGAGCTTATCGGGAATTAATAGGTTGAAGATTACAATGAATGGGAGAAGAGAAGGGACGGTGGAGACAATGCTAGTGAGAGCCATTGAAGAAGAGATTGAGTTTGTTTCTGCAACTCTCGTGCTTCTGATTCAGACTCGGAAGCAGCAGATTCTTGCATTATCTTCACTCTTTTAGTAGATTTCTTACTGTCTGATAAGCTAAGTGAATCGGAGGAGAAGAAGAGAGATTAGACATTGTTGTGTTTTTTTGTTCTGATTCACATTTTCTCAGATAGAAGGCATTTATGTGAATGTTATAACTAGCTTTTGAAGATTCTTAGCGTATAACTTTATTGGCTTAAGTGGAGTTTGTTGTGATCATGTGACAACGATTTTAGGGAACATGGCTTTGATATGTTAGAAAGCCTATTTTGTGGAGACATCTTTCACCTAATTACCTTTTAGTGATAAATTTCATTTCTTGCCATTGATTGTCTTGTTTTCCTTTTACTCAGAAGCTCAGAGATTCTTTGCTGTGTGGACGGAAAATTCCAACAACTCTGCAATCTTTGGCATGTGTTGGGCAATATTCTGTCGTGGCTTTTGACAATATATATGAAGATTCTCTGGCTTTAGTTTTTTTTTTCTGGTTTGTTAATGCTTCATTACTGAAGTTACAGTGATACCTTCAAGTTAGAAAGAGAGCATCCACCCATACCTCTGTTTGCATTCTTTGCAATTTGAGCAATATATAACATTCTTTTGTTTCTTTTAGAATGCCACAGGAGTGGCATATGTTCTTCATGCTTGTGCTAAATTAAAAACCGATTTTGCAGGTTTTTTTTAATGTTTGATACATGAAGAAGTAGAATGCCATTGGAACATGGAGATTTTTTAATGTTTGATACATGAAGAAGTAGAATGCCACTGGAACATGGAGACTCTTGATATTGTGCAAGAGGAAGGCATCGCCAGTGCTTATGGTAAAATCTTTTTCATTGTCCTTGAGTATTAGAACTTGTTTCTTCTGATAGCGATGTTACTCTACTTTGCCATTACATGAATCTTATTTATTCTACTCAACATTACATAAATTGATATGTTCTTAGGCAGTGAATGATTGATGTTTGATGAACATATGCAACATGCAACATACTCAACATTACATGAATTGATTTATTAATTCTTTAATCTAAGGACTCCAAATTAGAAAACACCATTGGACACACAATTTAAACTACAATCATTAACTATTCAAAAAAACAAAAAAATTAATTTTATAATAGTTAAGGACTCCATTCCAATGGTGATAACACCATTGGAGTTGCTCTTCGTATAGTTGTATACGTCCGATGCATGTTGTGCTTACTTGCGCTTCTTTTCGTATTTAGCAGTTTAAGCGTTTGAAAAGAGCCAAACAGTTTTTATATGCTTTGAGTCTATTATCCTATACCATGTACTGTACAGTTTATAATGAGTGTATACGTGTAGATGAAGTTGTATAATACAACTCATTCTCATTAATTCAACTCAAATGTACAACTGATAGTATTTATACTCTATACAGACTCCTTGTACCCTATACAACTTCATCTACACGTATACACTCATTATAAACAGTACAATACATAGTATAGGATAATAGAGTCTATATCTACTCTATTAAAATATAGTCATTATTTTTATCTACTGTTACAAGTTGTCATTTAAATTTGAACTCTTTCTAGAGTGTTATAAATAATACAAGTCATATAGTTAATTGAACCGCATTACTTAAATTAAACCGATGGTTATTTATGGGATATAGTCTTAGGCTTACTTTTGTTTTTAGAACAAATTATATGGTTTGGTTTTTGGGTTTAATATAAAAGAAAACTCCAAAAAACATTGAATAAACTTTCCACCTTAATGGATAAAAAACAGTTATTTTTTTCAATCCCAAAAGATATTTAATATTTTTAAACAAAACAAAATTGTCTATTATTAACCATTTATTTAAATCATGTACTTTAAAACATGTTAATGTATTTTTTATTTTAAATAACAATCGTTTTGTTTTGCTAAATTTCAATGGTAACTTTTAAATAATTTATTTTTTATTTCTCTTAAATAATTTACTAATTTTTAAAAAAAATGTAAAGCAAAACCAAAAACCAAATCTAAATAATAAAATCGAAAACCAAAAACTGAAAAAAAACAAGTTATATTTTTTTGCTTTTATTTATTTACAAAATAAACTATTGCAGAATTCCTTATAAAAAATTTTGTCATCTTTTCGGTTTTAAATTAGATGTTCGATTATTTGAGATTTGTTTGTTAGTAATATCAATTCAAACTAACTCAGCAGGTCTAAAAATTAAAAACCCAAACTAAAAGCTGAAAATCAAAAATAGAAACTTATAAAACAAAACTTTCTATTATTAATCATTTATTTAAATCATGTACTTTAAAACATGTTAAGGTATTTTTTATTCTAAATAACAATCGTTTTGTTTTGCTAAATTTCAATGGTAACTTTAAAATAATTTATTTTTTATTTCTCTTAAATAATTTACTAATTTAAAAAATGTAAAGCAAAATCAAAAACCAAATCTAAAAACTAAAATCCTAAACCAAAAATTGAAAAAAAAACAAGTTATATTTTTTTGCTTTTATTTATTTACAAAATAAACTATTGAAAATTTCTTTTAAAAAAAATTGTCATCTTTTCGGTTTTAAATTAGATGTTCGATTATTTGAGATTTGTTTGTTAGTAATATCAGTTCAAACTAACTCAGCAAGTCTAAAAATTAAAAACCCAAACGAAAAATAGAAACTTTAAAAATAAAAACCAAAATCTAAAACAAAATTTAAAAATAAAAACTGAAACTAAAAACTAATGAATAACAAGCATCACCACAAATTTTGGTGAACTTATTTTATCTCAAAACATTCTTTAAATTAAGATAAAACCCAATTACCTAAATTTTAATCATAAAATTTTTCCGCGTTTTTCAAACGCGGATCAAAATCTAGTATATAAATATACCACGAATGGTTTTGCACGGAGGAGCAAAACATGAGGGTTTCAATATTTTGTCTTCTTTAATAAGACCGTTAATGTCAAAAACGTTGGAGGAGCTGGTGGAGCTTCGGGACAAGATTGGAGATAGCGTTCGATGGCTTGGTACACCGGGGATGAAAGACATGGCCGGCTCAACCTTTTTCCAGACCCCGGGGAAAAATCAATATATTAAATTTTAATATTTACTTTTAGTAAAAATTTAAATTTTTTTATCATTCATCTTTATAAATTTGGGATAAAAATACATTGTAGACACATAAAATATTTTAGGGCCCCTTTTCAATTCGAAATTCTTCTGGCGTGGGTATTATTTTTTTATACACGTCTTTCAGTCTATGGATACCATCTGTTCATGACATATTTTAGTAAACATTGTGACTAGTTATGAGATCTCTCGATGATTTGCGGACATATACCATCTGCATGTTCATGACATATTTTACTTAATTAGGGCTGAGATATTTTTGTATTTTTAAATAAATTTCTTATTTATATTTATTTTATATCAAACAAATAGATAATTTACCAATTTTGTTAAATCTTATATTAATCTTACTTTTGGGAAAATATCTCATAATGGGTTAGGTGTCCAAACAATTGTCTCAGTTTTGTAATAGTATTTCATTATGTCATATATAATATCTGTGCTCATTTAATATAATAACCAAAATTTCACAATTCATAAATTGTTACAAACCCCAGCTGTAAATACATATGTATTTTGACTTCTTAATACATTCTCTTAGTATAATATATTTTCCTAAATGGATAACGATAAAATTGTTAAGTATCTTTAACTCATTAGGGTTTAGTCTCATAAGCATGTATATAAGACCTTATGGTCCATGAAACACAGCTTAAACATTCTTTGATCCGTAAATTTTCAAGTTCTGAACGTTAATCTTTAGAAAGCTCTATTACTCAGGATTCTTTTTAGTTGCAGTGAGATGGAAACACCAATTAGCTTAGGAAAGATATCCGGTTGGGAAGATATGGAGAGAAACATATTAGCCAAGATATTTGGGATGCTCAACGTTATTGATATAATCAAGGGGGCGTCTCGGGTCTGTGTCTCTTGGTTCCTTGCTTCTCACAGCAAAGCTTTATGGAAGACTATAGACTTAAGTAATATCGAGTCAGTTATTTCAGAAAATCCCTATAAAGTAGAGAATCTGGCTAATGACGCAGAGCGCCAATATGAGCTCAGAAACATCTTGGCTGAGATAACCAAGTTTAACAGCTCAGTCACGACAAATCTAGTTTTTGATTATAATTATTATATACAAGAGGAAGAGCTGGCGATCATTGCTCCAAAGTAAGTTAGAGCATTATTAACCTGAGGTTCTTAGAATGAGGTTATCAGTGGAAGTTAAAAAAACTGTTTTTTAACTTTTAACAAAAAAAAGTTAAAGAATCGATTCTTAAATAAGAACTTTAAGAAACAATCCTTACAACGTTATATGAGAGAAAAAAAAAGATTGTTGATTACTCACGTAAATTTGTGTTTTATTGTGGTATCGTTCAATTCGTGGTGTTTATTTATTTTATTTCTTGTTTTTTTTTTTGTCTCAGGATGCCAAATGTAAAAAAATTGGCACTGCCGCTCTATCGTAATCTAAATGAGAATTCACTTATGTTTACATTCAGCCAGTGGAAGAATCTTCAAACGTTGGTCATTACTCAACCTCATCTACCCATTACAAAAGCTAACTTCCAAGCCATTGGAGAGAACTGCAAGAGCCTCACCAGCCTAAAGCTTATCCGGCCGTTAAACACGAACTTAGCCGAGCAACTTGTGAGTTACTTCTCAAATCTGAAGAGTTTAAGCTTTCAAGGTGCATCTATAAGCAAAAAGTCACTATTATCGCTTGTCACTAATCACCAAAACCTCAGAATTCTAAATCTTTCACACTGCTTATACATAGAATTTGACGGTATGCCAGGCGACCGTAACACAATGAGTGTTTTAGATTTACATACAGAAAATCTCGTACAAACTGCCACTAAGAAGCTTGACAGATTTATCGTGTGTTCAAATCACTGCGGGACATGCAACGTGTTATGGGAACTTTTCTGGAGTGGTTGGAATTTTCCCTACGACTACGAGTATTGCACGTTTTCGAATAAGCAATGGAAAACTGATGAGATAGAGGAACTTCAGTTTTAAAATTTCAAGGTTTTTGTTTATGTATTGAGTAAAATGTTTACTTTCGTAGAAACTGCTTTAGCATTAGACTACTCTTCTTGTTCCTTTATCAATCTACTTTATATATATTATATAGAAATTCAAAATAATTTGAAGTTAGTATGTGTCTCTAATCAAATCTTGATCCTATCTTTTCCTCATTTTAACTTTGTCATACGTTAACACACGCAACCGGCTATGGGCTAAAGTTCACAAAATTTGTTATTTTAGTGATCAAAATTTTATTAATGACTTTCTCAAAAAAAAGTTTTTTAACAATAATTTCTCACCAAAACTCCCTCAACACCTCGTAGATGATTCTCCAATAGCTTCTGGTTTTCTCAACACCTCGTAGATGATTCTCCAATATTCTCAGTTTTTATTTGTTAGTAAGATAAATCTAACATGGATAAAATTTATCATCAAATGGTATTCAACTACTTTTGATCAATCATCATTCAACCTAATCACATTTATTCGGTTCGACTTCATAATCGACAGTAGACCAGAACATATTCGATGAAATTTTTTAAGCTAATGGTGGAAAACGAAGATGAAATCACTAACTATGACGGAAATAAAACTTTGATACCATAATAGAAGATGCAATCTATGAAAAGTGATTTTCTGTTTTTTCATCACTTGAAAACAAAGTCAACGCATCCGGATATATACAATTGACTAAACCGGGTAGATAAACCAAATCAAAATCACAACTAAATAAATAACCAAATGAAACCAACTTATATATCGTCTAGTAACTAAAAAAATCCATATCTTCTGCTTCTTCTTCCCCGGCTCGAGTCGTTGAGGTGCCGTTCTGGTAATATCATCGAACACCTTGTGGGCTTGCGATATTTACTTCTTTATATGATTCATTTTTCGCTTTCTAGATATAGGGTTCTTCACAATTAGGATCGTTAATGTCACTGATGATTGCTACATCATTTCGTGGATGAACTCATGGGCAAACATTGAAACACAAATCACAAAACTCCTCTATCAGTGTTCTGCTTTTCATTGCTTGGTTTAGTTCCTTTCGTATGTGCTGTCTTGTTTTCTACTAATTTCTGAACCTGTTTGATGATTTTGAAGTTCAAAGATTGCATTTTTCACCTTATTTTTGAAATGTTTTTTTTTCCTTGTACCTTACTCTGATATTAGAATTGTAAATTAGTTGAAATGGGTTTTAATGTTTAGGCTTTGTTAAACTTTGTTTGTCTGCAAGATGATTCCTTTAACCTCTGTTGCTATCTGTAGTCTCTCTGTAGAGTCTTGAAGCCAAATAAAGTTGCTTCCTTTCAACACCAATGAGGACTTGTTCAATTCCCGGGTTCAACACTCTTATCCCTAAACCAAGACAAAAGTTCGGGAACAGAACTAGTTCACTGCCCTTTTCCTCCACTGTAATACAAGTCATCTCTCAGACAAGCTTACCCCTCGTTATTGTTCCTCCCCGTTCTTCTATCTCAAGCCATCTCTCCCCATCAGACATCCCTCAGAAATCAGAAGAATGGTTTGCCTTAAGGAAAGACAAGCTAACCACAAGTACATTCAGTACAGCACTCGGCTTCTGGAAGAAGAATCGTCGCTCCGAGCTCTGGCATGAGAAGGTATATGACTCGGAGCCACGAGTGGTGGAGGACTCTGCACGGTTTGCAATGAACTGGGGTGTACAGATGGAATCAGCTGCTATAGAGAGGTACAAAAGAATCATGGGGTGTGAGGTTGGTTCAATGGGGTTTGCTCTTCACTCTCAAGAGCAGTTTCACTGGCTTGGTGCATCTCCAGATGGAGTACTCGATATTGGGATTCTAGAAGTGAAGTGTCCGTATAACAAAGGGAAGACAGAAACTGTATTGCCTTGGTCCAAAGTGCCGTTTTATTACATGCCTCAGATGCAGGGTCAGATGGAGATTATGGATCGAGAATGGGTGGATTTGTACTGCTGGACGCTGAATGGGAGTTCTGTTTTCAGAGTGATGAGAGACAGAAGCTATTGGAGGATTATCTATGAGGTGTTGAGGGAGTTTTGGTGGGAGAATGTGATACCTGCAAGGGGGGCTTTGTTGTTAGGGAAGGATGATGCAGAGGTGAAGAAGTATGAGCCAACGTCTACTCATAAGCTTACTGGTCTTGCTATTGCTAAAAGTATAAGTTTGGCTGCGGAATCAAAACTAGTATGCAGAGAAATAGCTGATCATGTTGAGTTCTTTTGAAATTTAGAAAATCTGGTAATATCTTTTGATTCTTGAACTGATGAATCATTGTGTCAGGTATGAAAACTTGTTAAGGATCATGTAACATAATTTAATCAGATAAAGAAAATTAAATTTTATAGATTATCTGGGAGGTGTTTGGATGTGAAATGTATTCATTTGCTAAAGTAGGTGAAGACAGTTAGACCATAATATAGCTTAATTTTCAGTTAAGAAAAACAACATTAGATTGTTTCTTTGTGCCAACCAAGCAGATGACCAAAAATAGAGAGGATCTGAAGTAAAATGGGAGTTAGGTTACCAGTAATAACAAAAAGTAAGTGAAAAGAAAAACTGAAAACTAATAGAGTTAAAAACCAAGGGCAATGAACAAGAAGAAGAAAGGTACAAATAAAGTTATTGAAGATGTTCCTCTTGCTAGGGTAACGTTTCTTTGATTCTGAAATATAGTCAAGAGAAAAAGATGGATTCCGGACTATCCTGGGCTGATCAATGGGATACAAACCCTGACCCTCCTCAGACTTGTACAAAAGAAGATGAAGGCAAAAAGAAAACAAAGAAGAAGAAGGATGAAGATGGAAGCATAAAAAGCCTTGGGAAGAATATACTTGGATTCCAATGGATGAAGGATCTTCGTAAGAAAAAGTGATTAATTACTAGAGAATAATCAAAACCACTGTTCATTGTATCATATCCCCTTTCATTCTTGCTATTCTTTTACATTTAATCTATTCTTGCTCTTCATCTTGATTCAATACCAATTGCAAATGAACACTAATGTAAACGATAAATTATCCAAAATCTTAATAAATCCAAAAAAAAAAAAAACAGAAAACAAAGGAAATCCAGGTCGTGTTGTCATTTTGAGTAGTAGTCCATTTTTGTTTTCTTAGAAAATACTGTAAAAAAGGTGGTTGCATTCATCTCCTAGACTTCTTTTTTGAGGCCTTAGAGGAAGAAGGCTTGGAATCAGCTGCACTCTTAGTGGTCGCTTGGTTTGATTTTGAAGTCGAAGGAGCTGCTTCTTGTTTCTCTTGCTTTGTCACTGCACCCTGCGACCCACGGATTTGAGCTGCCCGCTTGTCCTTCCTCTTAGGTCTGTAACTTGACCTTTCCCTTCTCGGAAGCCACCTTTCAGGATCCGGAGGAGGACCAGGGTTAGCCGGATCGAATCCTTTCGGATACTTTGGCTTTCTCTTCCTCTTCCTCTTTGCCTTCTCCTTCTTCACTTCTTCCTGCATCGCTGAAGCAGCAGCAGCAGCGCCTTCCACGGGTTTTGCACCAGAGGTCTTCTCTAGGTTATCCACATCAACAGACTTCAACCCAGGTAACGGCTTTAGCTGTTTCTCGTAAGTTTCTGCTTTCTCGATGTTGACACGGGCAAGTGTGGTCACAAGACCAACGAGAGCATCTGTGCTTTTATGTTTTTTCACAATCTCCTCGTATAGCCGTGAAGCCTCCTCTTCTTGGCCATGCCTGAGCTTGAAGGAAGCAGCCTGCGGCATCAATATGCCAAGCTTATTCTTCTCAGTCATCGAGTTTGACCACCAGTTAATTGCTGAGTCAAGAACAGCAGCAGCACCATCATTGTCCCCAGCTCGCTCTTTGAGTGCGACAATGGTGGCAACAGTTGCAGGTAAATGCTGGATATCAGTTATTCTGGACAAGGACTCTGCTGCTACTTGAGGATGACTGGCTGAAGCAGCAATTTGTGCCCTAGCCAAGAGAACCGGCTTAGACTTTCCCGGGAACTTTTCAGCGAACTGTCCCAGAAGTTCTTCAGCCTTGGCAGCCTTGTTCTCTCTCACCAACACAGCAGCTTGAAGCAATGCAGGATTAACACTCTCAGGGAATAGGCCCGGCAGTGCAGCACAGAGTTCTCTTGCCTGTGGAAAAAGATTCTCTTAACTGGTCAAGCCGAATATGCAAAGAAGAAATAAGATAGGAATAAACAGGATTTTGAGTTAAAAAGGACCTGATCCATCTTATTTGCATGGAGAAGCAGAAGGATGCGATTAGCATATATAGCTTCCTTATGTTTCTGCGAAAGCTTCGCATTAAGTGTTTGAGAAAGCTGAAAATTTTGGGAGTCTTTCTCCTTGAGACGATCAAGCTTCCTCAAGCCATCAGAAACATCTTTGGAACCTTTCAAGGCGATAAGGTTGTTCACAGCAACAGAAAGCGACGATTCATCAGCCAGGTTTCGTTTAATGATGTCTAGATATGAGCTGGTGGATTCCTGAGTTTGTCCAAGGACCTGATGAGAAAAAAAAACTTCATTAAAAACGACTGAAAGATATCCTGACAGGAAGTTAAGGGCGAAGACGAGTAACATAAAAATACCTGTTGGACATATGCTAATTGGACAGCAATTGGGGCCAGCTCAGTCTCAATATCCTCATCAGCAAAGCCATCATCCGTGAGGGTTACATGACCAATTCTGTCTCAGAATCAACAGTATTTTCATCAGGGGCCAGTACAGTGTAGTAGTAAAAGTGAACAATGTACTTGAAGTGTTAAGATACAGATCAATATGAAATCTCGTTAACGTCATGCTTTTTTAACCGAGAATACTGGTGGTTCTTTCATTATAAGACAAGAAAGAAAAAGAGACCACCCAGTAAGGTTCTGTATTAACAACTAATTAACCGAATTGCTTAGCCTATATAGTACAGCAAGATCTAGCTAAAGGAGTGTCAAGTCAAGCGAAGCAACTAAAAGAAATGGGCAACCCTCTAACAAATACTTGTAGGGACAAACCTTTTCGCAATCAGCAGAAGTTGTTCAGCATCAGCATAGTTATTGTTTTCAATCAAAGAGCAAGCAGTGTTAAAAGCCAACTCAAAACTACTAGTTGATTTGATCTTCCACGAGTCCAATGCTTTTTCCACCTGGGAAGCTTTACCAGCTGAAACCAAACTCGCAACGAAATTGACCTCTGCCGTCTCAATGTCGGAGTTCTGCAGCTTCCTATACACATCCACACAAGCATCTGTTTTCCCCAGACGGTACAGAATCTGAGCCTCCAAAAGCAAAGTCTCTGAATCTCTCTCTCGTCCTCTCAAACACTGCAGAGCCTCGTCTAGTTTGTTTTGACGGTATAAGCAATATGCCTAGAAACAATTCAAACCAATAGATAAACCATTAGAACAACATTCATCGCAGATTCAAAGTAATTAGCGTTTATTTGTATTTTATATATATTTTAATAATTGTTTAAGAGCTTTTGAATAAGCAGTTTTCGAATAGATCTTAACAAATTCAAGAAAACTAAATGAATATATTCGCATCTATCTAGATTCAGTTACATCACATTCCTAGTAAACGTAGTTCGATTAGTGTGTTGAGAACAGACCTTTTGAAACCCTAGATCGATGGGAAGCTTATGGAAGGATTGAATGACGGAGAGAGCATCATCGATCTTATCGTCTTTGACAAGAGCCACAACTTTGCATCGGATCGCATCCTCATCGGCAGGTGCAATCGACAAAACTGTTAAAAACAAAAAAAAATCACAATCTCAATTTCACCATTATAAAATTACAGTAGAGGCGTAGAATCTGTGGGATACCTTGATCAGCGACCTTGACGGCTTGTTCGTATTCAGATCGCTGGATGTGCCTATCGAGAGTGGTGAAGAGATCTTCGATCGCGGGAGGAGGATGTGAGGATGACGAGGTTTTCGGTTTCTCTTTCGATTTTGGAGCCATGGAGATTTGGTGGTGGGATGTTTTCTCGGAGATTGGGGGCTAGAGAAGGGTTTCTTGCATTTCTTTGTCTTTAACGAATGGTTGACTGCTTAGGATTTTTCGAAGACCCATACTTAATGGGCTTTTTATTGGGCCTATGACATTATCCAGATTCTCTTTTGGGTCTCTTTTAGTGGGGCTTGTAAGTGTTAGTAGAACACTTATTTGAAAACATGATACGAAATTACGAATGGGATTATGGAAGATTTTGTCGATAACTATATGGATTATCACTAAGAAGATGAAAAATAGTTCACTAAGAAGATGAAATATTTATATGAAAAATATTTTGTCCATATAGTTATCATGCAAATTACACACAAAAAAAAAAAAAAAAATCATGCAAATTACATTCTTTAAAAGATAGATGAAAACCTTAACAAAAATGTTATGTTTGAACTAATATAGAAAAGAATGATCATCTTCTCTATTAGAAGAGAAGTACTAAATTTATCTACTATTTAAAAGTTATGTTGAATCATGTAATTAATTATTTAATATGATATAACTGATAATTACTTAACCAATCAAATATATATTGTTCTGAAAATATCTTAATAATTAATAAGGACATTAATAATAAATCTATTCAAAGATAACAAAATCTGTTGAAAACAATTTAACAATATATTACCAAAAATTTTAAATATTTCTTATATAAAATAAATATTTCATTATTAAATATAATTAGAAATTAACTTTAATTAAAAATAAAATATAAATCATATATTTAAAAATTTAGTTATATATTTATAAGATAAAAAATATATTCGCACGGAGGTGCGGGTCAAACTCTAGTAACTTATTATTAAAAGTGCCAAATTCACCCAAAAACATTAACTATGCTTTCCTACACATTGTGAATATATGCTTGATTTACTAATTAAAAAGATTTAAATCTGAAAATAATAAATATTTATCCCAAAATAAAAATGAAATACTATAATTTTGATTATTTTAGATAGCTTGGAATTAATTTTTTTTTTTTTTTAAAAAGAAAACATTTAGAAGAAGATAGTCCCGTCCGTCTCACTTTCAGCCTTGGGCCATCAGCGAGCAAGGGTCACCAGACTCACCACACTCCACACTAAGCTTTTCCCAAGAGAGAAAATAAAAACAGCAGAGGAAAATGACGGAAAACGACGAAAACGACAAGAAAATGCAACGATCCAATCCCAAGAAGCTCAAACTCGTAACCTTCACCGGAGCGGCTGGACTATTAGGACTCGCCGTCAGTTTCGCCTTCTTCGCTCTCAAATCTCACAAGCAAAAATCCAAGAAGAAAGGTACTCTCTCTCGCTTCCCGCTTGCTCAAATTCATTATCTCACAATGCTGACAAGAGATTCTCGATTTTAGGTCTTCCCGGATGTGATACTGTTTATGTTAACCTAACCGCGAAGGAGATTCTCGATTTGGCTGACGAGATTATCTCCAATTCCACTAGAGTTCATGATTCCGTTGCCTTGGTTCCACTAAACAAGGTTATTTCGAATTTTACTGGTAAAGAGATGGGATAAGGGAAACGTCTCTAACTTGATTGTTTTGTTATAGCTCTCTTATGAGAATGTTGTGTTGCCACTTGCGGAACTTGAAGCGAGGCAGCTTCCTCTTATACAATCCTGTGTGGTGCCTAAGATGTTATCATCTCAGGAGAATGTTCGTAGAGCTAGTGCCGAAGCTGAGCTGAAGATAGACGCTCATATTCTTTCCTGCAGGTGTTTTTTTTTTACTGTCTTCTTGGATTGAATTTCTGATTTAATGATTTTTGGATGGAGTTGATGAATTTTATCTCTGTGTAAGTGTATCAGAAAACGTGAAGATGTTTATCGTGTTGTTAAAATTTATGATGCAAAGGGAGAATCGATTTCTCCGGAAGCTAAATGTTACCTACAGTGCCTGGTAAGGAAACCTGAATCGTATACTTTCCATATGATCATGGAGCTAAACCTCTTCCAAATGTGTAATGTTCCTTCTGCTATGGCAGTGTAGTGCTTAAACCAAAAAACAAATCATTCTATTAGCTGATTTTGTAATATAATAGTTGTGTATATCTTTCCTCCTTAACGTAGTTGTTACTAGTTTTAATGTCTCCTTCACAGTTCTAGAGTTAGTTTGTCCGTGACTTTGTACTATTGACGTTTGCGTCGTGTACTTGTCCTCTATAAAGTGGATTGACCGGCCTTGAATTGTTTAATACATGTCAGCTTGTGAAGAAGAACCAATACTTGTTTTTTCCTCCTATGTAACAGTATTTTGAGATTTTATTGTCCTAGAAAATATCATTCTTTAGGGTTTTACTAGAGGTTTTGAATTCATGATCTTCCTTGCGTTTCTCTAGAAGAATTTGGTTGCAAAAGTGAGCTTTATTTCGTAGCACATTTGCAAGAATTGCTTGTAGACTTGTTTTTTTCTTTACTAAGCTTTGTGAGTTGAACAAATGTATTGATTTATATTTTATCAGTGACAGGTTAGAGACTTCGAGCACAATGGTCTGAACCTTACTGCAACAAAAAGAGAGGAAGTCGATAGATTGAGAAATGAAATTGATGACCTATGCTCACGATATGTTCAGAACTTAAATGAAGATAGTTCTTGTCTGTTTTTCCCTGAGGCTGAGCTTGCTGGTCTGCCTCAAGAATTTCTTCAGGTGCTTACTTTGTCACATGCAAATCTGTGAGCTTGACTTTTCCGTAACTATTTCTCATTTCTACACTTTCCTCCTTCAGAGTTTGGATAAAACTCAAAATAAAGAATTCAAGCTCACCTTGGAAAGTAATCACGTGGCAGCTATTCTAGAGTTGTGCAAGGTAACAATTTCCATGTACCTTTCTTAATTGTCATGCCACAGAAAACATTAAAGATATAATAACTTACCAGTTCTTGACACTGGCTTTTTGGGTACAGTTTCATCATCTCTCTATGTGTTCACGCCAATACATTTGAGTTTGTCTTTGAACATATTTTGGCTGTTGTTTCAAACTTTGCAGATAGCCAAGACTAGGAAGACAGTGGCTGTGGCATATGGAAAGAGATGTGGAGATGCCAATATTCCGGTGTTACAAAAATTGGTACTTGCATGTCTATTCTAGAAACCATTGACAGAAGCCTGCAGCAGACTTAAATCAGCTGACATCTTACTATACTTGTCTCTGTAGGTTCAGTCGCGCCATAGATTAGCTCGCTTACTTGGTTATGCACACTTTGCAGATTATGCTCTTGATCATAGGATGTCGAAGACATCAACAAGGGTATGTGAAAGATCCTTCAAGTTATTAGTTTATAATTATTCATCTTGTTGTTTAAACTGACGCCCCTTCTTGTGTCCAGGTGATCAGGTTCCTGGAGGACATCTCTTCCACTTTAACTGATTTGGCTAGTAGAGAGTTGTCCTTTTTGAAAGACTTGAAGGTAAAATGTAATGCTGTCTATTTCATATAATAGTGATGCCTTCACAAAACTCAACCTGCTGGGTTCTAATATCAGAGGAAAGAAGAAGGGGAGCTTCCGTTTGGTGTTGAAGATCTTTTATATTATATAAAGAGGGTAGAGGAATTGCAGTTTGATCTTGATTTTGGAGATATCCGACAATATTTTCCTGTCAGTTTGGTTCTTCCTGGGATATTTAAAATATGTCAAGACCTTTTTGGTGAGTTTATTGTCTGTAATCTTAATCTCTTGGCTCATTTAAATTTTGTTTGCTTATGTGGCTCGAGAATATTTACTAATTTTTTGTTCCATCCTCGTCATAGCTTGCTGACAAATTTTTCTATGCAGGAATAAAGATTGAAGAGGTCACAGAAGTTGATGTCTGGTATTATGATGTTCGAGCATTTGCCGTCTTTGACTCCGGATCTGGAAAGCTTTTGGGATATTTCTATCTTGACATGTTTTCAAGGTCCATAAGCAACCTTAGCTTAATTCCCTTTTCACTTTCATATCCTCCACTTTAATTTAGTTTTGAGCATTATATTTGTTTAACAGGGAAGGGAAATTTAGTCAGAGCTGTGTGGTGGCTCTTCAGAACAATGCACTGTTCTCCAATGGTGCATGTCAGGTGACAATCCTACATCCATGTCAAACCTTTGTGCGCAAATGTCATGCAGTTTTAAAGATATATATGATATTGGAATCTTGTGCAGATGTATTTTAACGTGTTGGTATTCTTATTCTGACATTTATTTTGTTCTGTCTCTAGATTCCTGTGGCATTGCTTATTGCACAATTTGCAAAGGATGGTGGTGAAGCTGTACCTTTGGGGTTCTCTGAGGTGGTTAATCTTTTTCATGAGTTTGGCCACGTGGTACGTGAATAAGATTGGCTACTTGGAATAATTCGATAGATGATGTTTTACATTGTTTTTTGTATATATAAAAGGATGTTATGAACTAATGTTACTTGTTAACAACTGGCATATAGGTCCAACATATCTGCAATCGTGCTTCATTTGCTAGATTCTCGGGCCTGCGTGTGGACCCTGACTTTCGAGAGATCCCTTCTCAGTTACTGGAAAACTGGTAAGTCAACTGTAATTTATTTTTAAACGCAAATCCTTACAGATGGAATATGATTCTTGTATTCTAGGTGTTACGAGAGTTTCACCTTGAAGTTAATATCAGGTTATCGTCAGGTGAGTGCTTTTTGCATGACAGAATGGTTGACAATTCTTCTTTGGTCGACTAGACATGATAACTTGGTTCAACTTGGGATTTATTCCTGATGCCCTTTTAGAGTGTGACTGCTTTATTTAACTCGCTGGACTTGTAGGATATTACCAAGCCACTTGTGGATGAAGTCTGTAAAACACTCAAACGCTGGCGATATTCTTTCTCTGCACTCAAGTCGCTTCAGGAGATACTATACTGTGAGGCATCTCTTTCGGTGATCTTATCTTTAATAAAGTGACTTTTAATAGGCTACTGCCAAAACTTGTCTTGATGATTATGTACTTCAGTTTAATTTATCTTGTTGATTTTAATTTTCTCACAATTGTTAGGACTAATGGTTTGTTAGTAACATCAGTAGAGCGTGGTTTTTATTATAACTTAAGTAATAGGCATATCATGATTAAAGTAAAATTTGGGTTGACTAACGATGCTTGAAACATTGATGATGATCAGGTCTATTCGATCAGAAAATATATTCGGATGATGATGTGGACTTTCACCAACTAATCAGGAGTCTTCATCCAAAGGTAAAAAGAACTCTCAAAGCAATCTGGTTTATTTACGGCGAGTAAGTTGTCTTAATACCATGTAGTCTCTCTCTGTCGATAGGTAATGTTAGGGCTACCAGTGGTGGAAGGAACAAACCCTGCTTCATGTTTCCCACGTGCTGTAATCGGCTCTGAAGCAACATGTTACAGCCGTTTATGGAGTGAGGTAATGATTGATTTGCACTGCGTTGATTGATTGCTCTTTGCCATGATGTTTAATAATAAGAATCCGTTTCACAGGTTTATGCTGCTGATATATTTGCTTCACAATTTGGAGATGGGCATCCGAATTTGTACAATGGCTTGCAGTTCAGAGACAACGTAAAAACAAACGAGAAGCGTATTTGTTATTCTTTTCTTTTTAAAGTCTGTGACTGTGAGTATAACGCAAGCTTTTCTTACTAGGTGTTGGCCCCGGGAGGAGGCAAAGAAGCCATGGAACTTCTGACAAGTTTTCTTGGAAGGGAACCATCAACACAAGCTTACATCGAGAGCCGGTCAAAATATAGTTTGTGATATCTGCGCACTTCAACATTAGAGGATCTCTTAGTGAATCCATCGGCTGGTTTTGCGTAGCTCAACATTCTTTCCTTTTTTTATGTCGGATATGACAGTCAGAGACATCTTGTATTGATGATATTTGTTAATGAGTTGAGTGGACTGAATGTTGATGATTAAACTAAGATAATTTCCAATTTATGTTTTCTGCTGCAACTAATGAATCCAAAATTGATTTTGAGAGGATTGGGTTTAGTTGAGTGGCCAAAGCTGACATCAGGTGTGTCAAGCTGGTACATAGAATAAAGAGTTGATTGAGTGGCTAAACACAAATCCGGTTTACAATTCCCGGTTCGGTTCAACCGAATAGTACAAGTGGCACGTCCCAGTGGATAAGGTACGATCCATTATCATCGTCCCCAGAAACTCCAGTTGGTGAATCAAAGTGCTCAAAATGGAGGTAAGTATGTCTCTCAACGCGTTAACTCGGCTTCCACTGAAGAACACGGGAAGACTCGAAGAGTTCGGTTTAGCTAAACACTCTCTGTTCACATCAACAACGCCATGCCTAGAAAAGGCGCAGAGGAGGAGGGGTTTAGTGGTGGAGGCAAAAGGGAAGAAAGGAATGGCCGCTCGTCAGTATCAACGTACGCCTCCTCCTATGCCTAAGTTTGAAGACGACGGAAACCCTAGATTCGTTATCTTCATTCGTATGGCCAATGTTCGTCTCTTCCTCTTCATCATCACCTCTTTGCTTACTTTCTTGAAATCAACATTGAAGTCTTGTTTTGTAATAAGTGTTTCTTGTGACATGAACAGGTGTATCTTTGGTATCCTCTGAGTATAATAGCTGGTGGTACCACTGCTAAGATCATGGTTGCTGCTAAAGACAACCTCTTGGGGAAGTATATCTACAAAGACACCATTGCAAGAAACATAGCTGCTGTTATTTACAGAGTACGTTAGACAAAACTGCTTATTATTTAGCTGTTTGGTCTGATTCTGCTTTTGTATTGTGTGTCTCTTTTAGATTTGATTTCTGATTGTTTTGCATCGTCAACAGGATGAGAAGGAGATACAAAAGACAGCAATTAAGCAGCACCGTGTCTTGCGGACAGCTACTGAGTTTCGATATGGCTACAAACTTGTTGTAATGGCTCTTTTTCTTTTTGTTTTATAAACTTTGAATTCTTTAGAGGTTAGATTCTGTGAGACCATAGGAAAGGTTGCTTTTTTTCCTTTCCACTTATTATTATGTCTGCATTATTTGTTCAGGAAAATGGAAATATGAGAGCTGCACTTAGTACCTCAGATGTCATCGAGGTGAGCTATACAACCACTTTAACTCCATACATTGTGTGACAAAAAGGGTTGCTGTCATATATGTTTGAACTTATTGTGAACACAGCTCCCAACCCAGGACCAGCTTAAAACAGTATTCGACAAAGTGAAAGATTTCTTTGGGGATGCAAAAGAGTCATTCGGAAAGATATCATCACTGAATCCTGGGACAGATGAAGAAACTGAAGGAAGCTCTGATGAGAAAGCCAAGTAAGTATACAGTATAAACAGGTATTAGATGTTTCTTTGCTTCATTTTCAGCAGGATTTTGCACTCTTTTCTCCGAAATGATGTATGTTATTGTTATCCAGGGTCCAAGGCTGAACGATTGATACTTGATGGGCTGATTCCTAATGTCTCAACCGTCTTGATATGGGATGCAGAAATTCACTGGATAGACGAGATGCCCACTCTTTTGTGCACATTTTTCTTTATACACCTCTCAGAGAAACACTTTCTCTTCAGTATCTTGTAACATATAACTTATTGTGCTGTAGCTTTGTTGAAAGAAAGAGCTGTTTGGTTACAACTTTACGAGTTCAACGTTTCTTAGTCATGTCAAATAATAACTTGAAAACTGGAAATCTTTTCTCAGTCTCCAAGAAATTCTTAACTATCAACTGTGGAACAGAGATCTTCAAAAACTTCGTGTAGGCAGCAATGAGGGAGAACAGAGATCATATGCAGTGATACAAGTAGAACCTCCCTGATCCGCTCCAGTAGGTAAAAACTCTTCCGATTTTCTTAACATTGCAATATGTTGTAGCTACATATTTGTTCGTTATGAATGAACTAAATCTCATTTAGATAACCAATCGATTGCCTGCATGCATGGGATTCACTTTGTGGGAGATGTTAGATAGTTCATAACTCTGGTTAGTTTCCCATTGTTCTCAAGACATGATAGGTCTAGTATATTCCTACCAGCAGCAGAAACACATGAAAGGAAAGCAATGTGGCAGTGTGAAGATCTTAAGCGACAGTATGAAACATGTGGTCTTATCATTGTGGTGTATTTAGCCTATAACACTCATAGATTATTGTACATGCATTCGATCATGGAAGGTTCTTGGTAAAGCAAGATTATTTTTCAGGTATACCCACAAAATCTTTATGCATAACACCGACCAATATACGGAAAGAAGTTAGTGGAACAAGTTCAAGATATGAATAAACCATGGTCTACCATGAGGGTATACTCGTCAGGCTCGGGCAGACGGTCATTTCCAAACCAAAGGTGAGGTGGGAGCTCGGATAGGAGAGATGAGCTACTACTGTAATCTTGAAACTGGAAGTTTTGGAGTCCGGTGTTTGCAAGAAGATGCTCTCCGTGAAGCCAACTGAAGTCTAAGTCAGTGTCTATAAAACCAGAATGATGTGATTCTGGAAGCTCCCAGTTCAAGCTTCTCAGAATCGACTCTGTATCATTGTTTACATTTGAGCTTGACTCCTGCAGCTTCATGCAGGAGATGGCAGAGGGAGTGGACAAGCTCACATCTTGATTGATCACAGTAGAGTTCTTGTTTTGTGGCATGAGAAACTCATCCGCATTCACACAAGTCTCATAAGAAGGCTTCATTTCCTGTTCCATGAGAGTTGGTGCAGAAGCTACAACATAGGGACTTTGACTTGGTAACAATGGTTGTTGCTGGAGAAAGCTGCTCTCAAACAGAATCTGGGGCTTCGATTCAAGTGGGTCTGGAACATCACTCCAGGGAAGCAGAGAGTCAAACACACTTGAGGAAATGGGAGGTTCAAATTCTATACGCTTCTTTTTCCCTTTTGGAGGCATATGAACATCACTGCTGGGGTCAGACACTGAAGATGAAGCAAGTTGCTTTGGATCAGTCTCTGCTTTGTGGACCAGAGAACTGCCTCCAGAGTATACGTAGCTGCTCTTGCCAGGGCTTTGGTGGCCTGAACTGAATTCAGCATCTTTTGGAGGTGAATCCATATTCCTCACTCCACCAGAATAACACTTTAGCTCCTTCCCTTTCTCCAACCTGCTCAGGTAAAGCCTGTACTTCTACAAAAAACACAAAAGAAAGTGAACAAAAGCTTAATCTACACTTTACTTTACTTCTCCTTTTTGATTTAACGAGAAGGGTAAAGTTTTACCTGGAGGTGGCTTGCAACGTTTTCCCTAGTGAGCCATGGAACATTCATGAGGTCCAATATCTTCTTCGGACCAGCTTCTGCCAAACACAAAAAGACCAGCTCTATGATTAAGACAAGGTAAAGGGAGGCAAGGGGAAATAAACTGAAGTGTCCCAACGTACTTACTGTGATCGCATCCGATTTGGTTAACAGCGTTAACAAACTTCTGATGAAGCTCAAAAGACCAAACCACTCTGGCTTTCTTGGAGGAAGATGATGGGTCACTCTCATCCTGAAGAAGCTTCTTCTCAAATTCAAAGTCCTTCCTCTTCTTCCCAAAAGAAACATCTTCACCTCCTCCAAGATAGTGTGCCTCATCGTTTCTTGTGAACCAATCAGCTCCAACTTCATAGCATCCTTCGATGTCTCTCACTTCTTGGAGTTTCTTTCTCAGAACATGCTGCCATATGATCTTCAACTCCTTCATCCTTATCGGCTTTAACAGGTAATCACACGCTCCGTGCTGAACACCTTTCATCACTCTTTTCGTCTCACCGTCCACTGACATCACTGTAACAAAAACAACAAAGTTAGTAAACGTTTTTTTGTTCAGTTATGAGTCATGATCTTGTTGTGGGGGGAAGTCTGACTTATAACAGGGAGGTCTAACTCAAGGCCAACGTGCTCAAGGAGCTTGAAGCCGTCCATGTCAGGCATGTTGACGTCGCTGATCACGATGTCAAACCCGTCCTTACGCTCCCTCAGCAACCTCAGAGCTTCTCTAGCTAACCCACATGTAGTGACTGTAATAACATAGTGAATTCAAAAAGCAGAGGAAATTTAAGTTAAGGAGAGACTTCTGAGGTGGTGTTGAGGAGTGAGTCTATAAAACTTTGAGATAGAACCTTCGTAAGAGCACTTCTTGAGCATTTTCTCAAGAATCTTGAGCCATGTTGGGTCGTCGTCGACGACAAGAACTCTTAGACCGACGGGAGAGAAGCCTTTATCCATGTTCGCCGGCAAAAGAAAGAGAGAGAACAGAGAAAGTGGTATGTGTGTGTGTGTTCTTTTTTGGAAAGAAGGAAGTGGGAGTGGGTTTTTGTTTACGTTTTATTGTGTGAAAAGACAACACTCAGAATATTTGGCGCCGTTTAGATAAATAGTCACTGGTGGCGCACGTTAGCCTTTTTAACCTCTCTCATTTTCTCTGTTTTAAAATATTTCTTATGTTTAATTATAGTTCTAATTTTGTGTAAGAAGGAATATTGTTCGGTCTAAATTCACTGGGAACAAAAAGTTTGTTAGAATTCATATTTTGTTCTCTTTCCTTAGATTTTTAAGTTGATGTCTTTCACTGCTCAATATTCCTCAAATTGTTATTAAATATTGCCATGATAATATTATGGATTATATCACTTCTTATATTTTTTAATATTTTAATTATCTTTGTAATTTATCTTTATACCTTTCTCTTGGTATTATAAACACACATATGGAATTTTCTCTTTATAATTGTACTTTTTATATTCTAGTTAGATAAATATTATTAAAATTATAGCCGTATTTAGAACGCATAACCATTTAACAGCAATTTACAACGGACGGATCTGATTATTTCAAATTATAAAACCAATTACTACAATACTTTTCAGTTTTCTCGTAATAAGAGTATTCATCTATAGTTTGATTTTTTTTTCCTTTTTCTTAAATGAGCATACAGTATCTGGTCATTGATTTTTCAGAACCAAACGTCAACTACTCTCAGGGTTAAGTTGAGAAGACTCTTATACAGAAATTGTTCATAAATTAACCATCATAGATTGAGCATTTGTACCGGAGTTAAGGTGGTCCAAGCAAAGCAGTTTTGTCCCTAAATATCTAGATCATGCTGGTTAACCTTCAAGACTTCATATGTCTTTGACTCTTTTGAGACTTCATTGACCTTTATATTTTATTGGTGAAAAGTAGTAGAACGACAAAAGAAGAATAAAAAAGGAAAATGGTACACAGCTTGTCATGCACAAAGCTTTTTTATTTTATGGATGAGGACGTGGCCTGTGTAGACTTGAACTTCATCATTCATTTTTTTTTTTATAATTATTGATATAAGACAGCTAACTAATTACATAAGCTTTCTGTCAATGAGAAAAAGAAAACGCATTATAAATTTATAATCAGTCTTATCATCTGTGGAAGTGTACAGTACACTGGCTATGGGATATAAACTAGGAATCCACGTGACCCGCATTTGAAAGGAACAACATCGTGTCTCACTCTAAAGCATGGTTTAGGCGGCTGCCTAACGGTACGTAATGAGAGGATGGGACAAGTCTCACTTGCTCATGCCAAATATATTATACTTAAAAGTCTCTACACTTATTAAATTTAGCTTTCTTATAAAATGTTTATACATCTTTATATCATCAATTTTCAAAGAATTTTATGTTTTCTACGCATCATATGTTTTCATGGATCATGGGTTCTCTTCCCAAGCGGCATTACACCCAAAGATAACATGATTTCTCTCCTGCGGAAAGACACTGTTGATGCCACTAAACCCAATTAACATTATTTAGTGGGTGTATACAGTTTAACATAATATTATAAAAATTTATTATTTGAACACTAATTTTCCTGATTCTCTAATTCCATGGAAAACAGTTACCGCAATGATGCAGTGGGCCTACAACAGTTAACGAACTTGTATATGGATTTCATAAAACGTACGTTTGTGGTACGTATTATTGTTGGCACATCTACTTAAGATAGACATAACATGAGCTTGTGTTTGTGCATATATTCGTCACAATTAATTAATTGAACATAAACATATAAATATATATAGAATAGATATAAAGGTTATAATAATGCACCACAAAAGATGCACTAAGGTTGGATTAGACCCACACACCTCAAAAAGAAATGGCTGGTAGTGTCATTCTCCAATCACCTGCCGACATTTAATTCACACTTTGTGGTCAAATTGTAAACTCTTAATTAGCCGAATGTCTCCATCATACTGGCTCGTGCTACCCACGCGCTGCTTTGCAACACTAATCATCAATTATGTGCATGTAAATCAAATGGTTAATGCTTTAACCCTCTAATTATTGGGTGGTATAAGTATCAGACCACTACCAATGAACGTTAATCGTTCCTTTAGTTGAAGTTTCTCAGTACTTTATTCACCATTATAAATGGTTTGATAATGGCAGTTAATTAAAAGAGCCTTTAATTATCTAATTATGAAGAGTATAATAACTTGAAACCAATGAGTGTGTTAGCGCATCCTAATAGACTGGGACATCCACCATTAAATACACAATAAAAATCAAATTTAACCTATACATCTTCCACAATTTGGGATCAATTTATGTATTATGATCTCCTCCCAAAATGCAACTTGATCATGCGATTTCTAAACGTTTTTTAGTAATAATTGGAAACCAATGAGGGTGTTAGTGAATCCTATTGAACAGGACATTCACTTCTATGCACACAGCACACTTATGAGATAAATTCCATATAGTTTCCAGATTTTGGATCAATGCATGTATTATTGTTTAATCTCAAATACCATTCGATCATGCCGTTGGAATAAAATTTATCTTTGTTATTTTTAGTAGAGTTAAAGGCATTTTGATTACACAATAGAACTAATTAAGAAAAACTTATTTATGTGAATGCTTAATAATAGTATATTTTTCCTTTAAAAATAAATATATCTATTCGTTTATCTAATACACACAATACTAAGAAAATTGTTTAAAGTATATAAACTAATAGTAGTAAACAATCAGCTATGAAAGGGTAAAATACACTATCTCATTAAATGAAAAATTTGTTCAATCGTGAAAGCATTATATATAATTTGGAATAGAAAAACCTCTAAAATATTTATGCTCTGAAAAATATATAGTATAAGGATTAATATATTATATATTATCACTTACTGTATTATTAAATAAAATTAATGGTTATATGCAAATATATAGTATCATCAGGAAAATAAAATAGAAAATATATTAAAGAGATACCGTTTACACTTGAATTTGTAGATAAAATTTGATAAACATAAATAAATTAATTTCTATTTTTTTCGAAAAGAAAAGTCAGAAGATAGTAAATATTCGAGAAATTGGCAAGTGTGAGATAACCTAACTCGAGTCCTGATACTTTAGTTGCATGTGCTGCATTTCGGTTTATCTGGTTCTCTTTTCTTTCTATTACGTACTACCAATAGCTGCTCAATTTTGTTATTTTTATATAATCACTCATCTTTTAACATCGTTCATTTTAGATAACATGTCACAGAAACAAATTAAGGTGAGACGATGTTTCCGCGTCAGCTACTGGATCGTGTGACTTCGAGGTAATTAAATGAAACACTATTTAATGCAGTACGAAGAGAAAACAGAAGAATATTGTTATACAGTGAAAATATAAACATTTAGAACAAAAAAAACATACAAGACGTGTTTAGTTACAAAATCAACAAATGAGTTTTGTGAAGGCATCTAAATTATTAGTTTGTTACAAATTACTACTACTTAGATCAGTATAATGTAAGCACCAATTAAAGCCAATTGGAATTCGAAGCTATACGTTTCGAATTACCCAATAAAAGTTGGCAAGAATTTTCTTTAACAACCACTAACTTTTTTACTTCAATAGTTAAACATTCCTATTCTTGTTCAAAAAAAAAAAAAACATTCCTATTCTTCACTGAACTATTAGCCCTACTGATATACTCAAATATATCATTCAGCATTTTGAACCTTACGTACCTACTTGCATATGTATTTTGGAAGCTATATATATATATATATGGGAAATTCACAAGTGTTTCGTTTTATTAGTTATTTTTCACTAATCATGTAACTATAAGTACTGGATTGCAAATGGCTAATTTAACATATTGACCAAAAAATGGCTATTGGCTACTGTTCATTTATGGAACGACTTCCTGGAACCAACAGTAAGGGGGAATTCTAATCACATTGCAAGTCTTTTCCTTTTTTTTTTTTGACTGAATCACATTGTAGTTCTTTTGCCTGTAAAAGTTTCCATAATCATTTTATTGCCACCCCATGCAGCCAAAAGAAAAACATGTGGCTGCAATAAATTTTTTGTATTTTTTTTTTTGACTTAATTTTTTTTTTTTTGTATTTAGTATGAGTCATTTAAAATAATTGTAGAAACTTAAACATACTAACTAGAAAACATATATATCCAATTTTGCGATCAACTTCTATACGTGGTGTTATTCATTACCGGTTTTGAGAAAACTATTTTCTCTACAAAAATATAATTAAGAACATTATATAAACTTTGAAGTCATTTTCAGCTTAAAAATAGTGACTAAAAGGTGAAACTTTTGAGAGGTTGGGGAGAGAATGAACTATACATTCAAACAAAACATATTAATATTCAAAATGATTCTAAATTTATATTATTATTATAAGTATTCTAAAAAGTAACTAAATGGAAAATGCCCACTAACAAAGCAAGTTATTGCACAGAAGAAATTGATAAATATTTCCAAAAAGAAAAAGGTGTGTGTGTATGATTGGTGGCCAACAAATTGGAAGGATTAAGATGATTTTTGCCCTTCTTATCTTTCTGGCGGACTGTGTTCAACAAAATAATAATTTCTGGCGGACACTCTCTTAATATTTATTCTAATGCTATTATTTTTCTTAAAATATTTTGTTGCCACAAAAAGTTAAATATAAGAAATAATATAGTAAATGTGTGTATAAAATATTCCCCCTCCTACGATACTTGAGGTTATTTGATTTTCACTAATTTATTCTTTCTTCAACTTTTCTCATTCTTTATAATAGATTGGTACAGATACCTGATTATGATGTATAACTCACTTTACTATATAATAGTAGAAAATATCTAAAAAGCTTTGGGTAAAAAATATTAAAAGGTTTTTTTTGTTAAAGAAAAAACTATTTAATTAAGACCATAAACCAAAGTGGACAGAAGATATAGTGTTTTTATGTCCATACTTTCGATAATCTTCTACAATTTTTGTTGAGTTACAAACACAAACATAAAAATACAGAAACAAAATTTAGGGAAAAAATAAAGAATATCTGATGATATTTTATTATTCGACAAATTTTTGTATGATAAATATTTTCAAGTATAGATTTTTTTTTTTTTTCAAATCTTAAAATAAAAAATGATTACTAAATGATTTAGTACTTTACTAAAAAATCTGAAGTGTACTTTTACGACGCTTAAAGCGAAAGTTTGCTATGTTTTTAATCATTTAAAAATCGTGGTTAATTTATCAAAAAACATATTTTTGATATTTTAGATATACGTTTCTCAGCATCTTAGTAATATTGAGAAAAGAGTTGTGCGCATAATATAGTGATCAGACATAAACTTCATTCGATCTTTACTTTTTCTCCAGCTTTTCATTTAACAACAATATTCATATTCTGAATTAAATCTTCACATAATCACATTATGTTCTTTATTTTTAATTCACATTACTCTCTTTGTTAACGACTTAACTTAAAGGAAAGATGCTGACTTTTGCAACTGTGCAGTTTTTTTAATAGTGTTAATGGAGAGAGTATTATATGCTGGTTTTAGGTCATATAAAATTATTTTAAAACTTATAAAATATTTTAAATACCTATTTACGTATTCAATAAGATATATGGACTAGTAATTATAACTATTTTTACACCTATCTTTTCAATTTTCTCTTTAAACCTTATTTATAAATGATTTTTTGACAAAATGTATCATTAAATGACTTGAGGGAGGGGAAACATATTTTTTCTCTAAGTAGATATTTACTCCGCATTGAAGGGATTAATGTTTTAGGTACTTCACACATTTAAAAATAAATAAATACATTTTTATTCATTATTTTATTTTAATTAATTTAATTTTGTTAGTTGTTAAATAAAGTTTAATAACTCATTTTTTAAAAAAGTCAAATGCAGTAAGTAAATTCTACAATCTCTCAAAAAATATCAATTCTTTAAAGAGGGTATACAATGATATAATATAATATAAATATTAGGTGTTGGTTTGTGTTTCGCTGAAAATATTATTTTCACTATATGTTTTTGCTATATACTGGATATATATTATGTGTAACTCGTTATTTTTTGGCTGTTCTTTTTTTGACATTTTCTCAGCTTGAATTTGTTTGTTCCAAAGAGATTCAGTCTAGTCTCCTTGTGGCTCACTAAATTTTATAGTATGGTTTTGAGATCGTTTAAATTGGATTATATTCTATTTTCTTATTACCTCGGTAGAGATAATTTAAATTGGGTTATTTTTTAAACTGTGAATATCGCTTGCCGTTGTGGCCTTGAGCATGACAGAGTTGACATTGCCCCAAGTAATATTTAGAGGGACGTGGATTTTAAGCATGTGTGAACTAATAACTGCCTTCATTATTGTAAAAAGTGTTGTTATACCTCATGTTGTTGTTGTTGCTGCGGCATATATTGTAGTTGTTTTGTTGACGATGTTGCACATGATTGGCAGAAATCGATATCACCATGCATGAAGGGGACATCTCTGGCTGCAAGTAATTTGGCCTCATGGTAACCTCTAGTAAACTTCAGTGATATTCAGTGGAGTATCTTTTCTTTCGATCTGATTTACAACTGTCATGTAGTCGTCAGGTAGGCCAGCAAGAATAATTTCTACTTGATCTTTATTATCATATGGTTTTCCAAGGATTGCAATTTTGTCAAGCTTAGACATTGCGCCTTAAAGGTAGATCTTTGTTTTTTCCCTTAGTTGATCCTTGAGTTGTTTAATATGACTCAACTTGGTTTGGCATATATGTAGCAGCCAAGTAGTTTTCCCAGATCTGAGTTGCAATAGTTGTGCAAGAGACCATGGGTTGAATCGTGGTGATATATCACCTAGAAGAGCGTTATAGATCAACTTGTCCAGTCTTGTCTAGTAGACGTACTTTGGATATTTAGTGATAGAGTTACAGTGGCAAGTGTTGCCGTGAAATCTCCAGGAGAGGAGCATTCGAGATGGTTTGCAAGACTATAGCTATAAAACAAAGCATGGACTTGCAAGCTTCACATTAGGTAGTTTTTGTTTGTGAGCATAAAGACACATTAGACATGTTGATCTAGAGAAGTGAATTGCTGGTGAGAGAGATGATCTCGTTGGTGTTCATTGGTAGCTCATGCGGCTAGGTGTGTTGAGGTCGAATTTTAAAAAAAATTAAGAGTTAAAACTCTATACCATATAGAATTATGGAAAATGTAATTTTTGTTTGAGCCTTTGAATATATGTATAAGAGAGATTATGTTAAAGTATTTACAAGGTAGTCTGTCCATATATCTAAACTAACATATATCTTCTATATAAAGATGAACTAGAGAACACGTAAATTTTATCCCCAGTTATCAAAAATGTGCTCTTAAAATGTTATTTCGTATTTGGGCAGCCAGCTTTATAACCTTTCCAGAGAACTTTAACATTATATGAAAAATGAAAAGAAACATGTTTTTCAAAAAATGTATTTAGATTTTTTTTTCTTCGAAACTAAAAATAAAAATATTTTTAGTTTCTTGGAAAAAAATAAAAAAAAAACTCTCGATCATATTATATCTATTTAAGAAAAAAATTATGGATATTTTTTAGCAATTAATTTTTCATATTTTATAAGCTGGCAAAGCAAATATCGTTATTTAAAAAACAAATCATTTAACGGCTTTCGAACCATGGTGAATTAAATTGGTGATCAACTGTTTTCTTGTCTGGCAGGAGAAACGTGGGATAATCATCATTCTAAACAAAAATAATTTCCGCCTTTAAAAACAAAAATTAAAACCTAAACGCGAGAAAATAGGAAATTAATCTGTTCAGTTAGATAGAAAAAGACGAAACAACCCTTTTATTGTTTGAAACAAACGATTCTCTGCAAGACATCGACAATTCTGGAAGTTGCAAAGAAGCCAAGAAAACTAAATGCCAAAGTACCCGGCGAAGAAAAAAAAAAACAAAACTATACGTAAGAAACCTTTAATGGTCTGAGGAACGAGTCGACTCGCCTCGGGTCATGGGATGCTGCCAATCATCTTTCCTCAAACCGTCGTCATTTCATGACAAAAAAACCTCCGGCGATGTTTCCGTCCGTCGTTGCGGCAAACGCAGTAACAAGAATAACCGTCACTGTGTTGTCAATGATAATGAAGGGGTAGGTAACGGCAGGGGATGGCATTTCTCCACCGTTCCGGACTTTTCTGAGTTCTCTGCAGCTGATCTTCGTGATGCCACGAACAATTTTAGCGTAAACGCTGTCGTATCATTTTGTTCCGACCAAACACCGAATGTTGTTTACCAAGGTTGTCTTAAAGACGACATGCGTCAAATAGCTGTCAAAAAATTTCCCAAATCAACGTGGCCCGACCCCAAACAATTCGCTGTATGTTTTTGATATATTCTTTATTATTTGTTAGTGTGGTTTGAAATTTAGGGTTCAAAATCATTTTTTGGTTTATTTAAATAATTTTTATTATAAATTAGAGTTTATATATATATGTATATATATATATGTTTCATCCGGCCATGAGTGTAGATAGAGAATTAGACTTGTGGTCAGTGCCAGGGAATGAGTTTCTTAGGTTGCATTTCGGATTAAGACTAAAATTTTTTTATAACCAATTGTTCTGTTATGCAGGCAGAAGCTAGGGATATTGGGAAAATGAGGCATACGAGACTTGTGAATTTAATAGGTTATTGTTGTGATGGAGATGAAAGGTTGCTTGTTTCAGAGTACATGCCTAATGATACCCTCCCAAAGCATCTATTTCATTGTATGAATATCCCAAAACTTATCTTATTCATTCACAGTAGATGTATCTTTTCTTGGTTGACAAGTATTCTTTGTGTGAGTTACAGGGGAGAAACAAACTATGGAGTGGGCTATGCGGTTGAGAGTTGCACTTTATGTAGCTGAAGCTTTGGAATATTGTAGGCAGAGTGGACTCAAATTGTACCATGATCTCAATGCTTATAGGGTTCTCTTTGATGAGGTAACACCATTTACACATACTTAAAATTGGGTTAATGTAAGAAAAAACTGCTAAGAGTTTTATGTCAGTCAGAATGGGAATCCTCGGCTTTCATGTTTTGGATGGATGAAAAACAGCAAAGATGGCAAAAACTTCAGCACCAATCTCGCTTTTACACCGCCTGAATATCTTAGAGATGGTAACGTTTTTTGTCTTGCACTAAATATTTAGTTCTTAAAACATCATCAGTTTTGTATTATCTTCTTTGTGGCAAATGATGTATATATAATACACGTTAGGTACGTTAATTCCAGAGAGTGTTGTCTTCAGCTTTGGGACGTTTCTTTTGGATCTTGTTAGTGGTAAACATGTCCCTCCAAGTCATGTGAGTAACCTTCTAGCAAATTTGATATGGTTGTATGTGTTTTTGTACCATTAACATGTCTTCTTCTATTGCTCTCTATTTATAGGCGGTTGACACAATTCAAAAGCAAAACTTACCTGTCTTCATAGATTCACACTTGGAAGGAAACTATCCAGATGAAGAAGCAGCCACTGTGTTTGAATTAGCTTCCAAATGCCTAGAGAAGGACCCCAAGGACAGGCCAGAGATTAAAGATATCATCTCAGTTCTTGCTAAACTTCAACACAAACTAGATGTTCCCTCCTATGAAATGCTTGGGATTTCGAAACTCGAAAACCTCGAAAAAGAACCAGAGAGTTCTCTACTTTACGATGCTTGTCACCGTATGGACCTCACAGCTCTTCATCAGATTCTTGAGGCAACAGATTACAATGACGACGTTGCTTGTGAGCTCTCTTTTCAGCAATGGTCTCAACAGATTAAAGATGTGTGGAACACTAGACAACAAGGCGATTCAGCTTTTCGGAACAAAGATTTTCAATCTGCTATTGACAAATATACTCAGGCATGGCCATAAACAAAAAAAAAAGAAACAAAACATAAAACACTCACATGACTTCTAACTTAAGGTCATGAACTTTTTGCAGTTTATAGAAACAGGGATCATGATCTCTCCCACTGTATATGCAAGAAGAAGTATATGTCATCTCTTCTGCGACCAGTCAGATGCAGCACTCAGAGATGCGATGCAAGCTCAGTGCGTCTATCCGAACTGGCCCACTGCGCTCTACCTTCAGGCAGTGGCTCTTGCAAAGCTGAATATGCTCGAAGACTCAGGTACCATGTTAAAAGAAGCCAAGATCATGGAAGACAAGAGGATCATAAACTGAATCACTTCTCATTACACTTGTCAAAGTATTTGTGTTGAAAAGAAGAACAAGAAATTTATGTGTATACTGAAGTGTAGCTGGAAGACGTATATGAACACAAATCATCTGTATAAGTTGTTAAGATATTGTTTCAGAGCATTCTCTACCATTCTGTGTTTTAAAAAGCGCAAGGGCCTCTATGGTGAGATGGTTAGAGATCAAATTTGGGTGCTAATCAGTTTTTTGAATATCGGTTTTTTCGGGTTTTGAAAATGAGTCCGGTTATCCATTGTATTTGATGCAGGTTCAAACTGAAGCAAAGTAACCGAACTACCTGCCTCAGTTTGTATTTTATGTCCGAACTATCCAAACTAGCTCAAAATAACTTAAACTAACCAAAGAAGATGGATAGGTGCATCTATATGAAGTTGCTACTGCCAAAAAAACATAATAGTTTCTAAGCTTTACTAAGTATGATGGTTCATATGGATGGAGTCCCAAACTGAAACAGAGTATTTTACAAAAGAAAATATATACGCATGGGTAATGGTCTAGTATACATTAACAGCTAATGGTATTTGAAAGCAATGTCAACTTTGGAATTTGATGAATTTAAGAAACATACAACTCAGCTTGGCCGTCAATAAAGAGACTCATGAACTCTTCTCCATCAACAGTTTCTTTCTCGATCAGGAGTTGTGCAAGCTTGTGTAAGATATCAATGTGAGTTGTGATGATGTCTGTGGCTCTCTTGTACGCCTTCTCCACCAGCTCTCTCACCTCAGCATCTACTATATCAGCAGTTGCCATTGAGTAGTCTTTCTGTGAAGACATCTGCAAACAAAAAGACATGGAGGTAAGTAACGAACGGTAATGATGAGATGGAGAAACCAAGTTGGTTTAGTAATTTATACTTGTTGACCCATGAAGGGGTTTCCACCAGGGCCACCAACGGCTACTTGTCCAATCTTCTTGCTGAATCCGAACCTCTCAATCATTTGACGTGCTACACGAGATACCTGCATGAAATCATTTGATGCTCCAGTCGTCACATTGTCATCTCCAAAGATAACCTCCTCTGCAACTCTGAGACAAGAGCAACAGAGATGGTTTTTAACACAATCAAGCAACCGTTGTAAGTTCTCAAAGAAACTGGCATTACTAACTAACCTTCCTCCAAGTGCAACAGCCATTTGATTCTCGAGGTAGCTTCTACTGTACAATCCAGACTCGAGTCTTTCTTCACTGGGAGCAAAGAAGGTAAGTCCACCAGCTTGGCCACGAGGAATGATGGAGATCTTGGCAACAGGATCATACTCTGGCATAAGAGCACCGACTAGAGCATGACCAGCCTCTGCAAAATTTCAAAAAACTCAAACTCAGAACTCAAAAATGTCTCAACAAGATAATAGTTAGGAAAAAAAACAATGCTAACCATGGTAAGCAACAAGTCTCTTCTTCTCATCAGAGACAACAGCATTCTTCTTCTCAGGACCAGCAATAATCCTCTCAAGAGCATCAGAGATCTCATCCTTACTTATCTCCTTAAGCTCACGCCTCGCCGCAAGAATCGCCGCTTCATTCATCAGGTTCTGTAAGTCAGCACCAGTGAAACCTGGAGTCCTCCTTGCAACCTTATCAAAATCCACATCTTTACCAATCGCCTTCCCTCTAGAATGAACCTACAAATGAAGAGATATTAACAATCATTCACAGAGACAACAACCACAAAGCTTTTAACAACAACAATCAAACACCTGAAGAATCTTGACCCTTCCAGCAACATCAGGCCTATCAACAGTAACCTGCCTATCAAACCTCCCAGGCCTCAACAAAGCAGAATCCAAAACATCAGGCCTATTAGTAGCAGCCAAAACAATCACACCAGAGTTACCACTAAACCCATCCATCTCAGTCAACAACTGATTAATCGTCTGCTCCCTCTCATCATTCCCTCCTCCCATCCCAGCTCCTCTCTGCCTCCCCACAGCATCAATCTCATCAATAAAAACAATACAAGGCGCCTTAGCCTTCGCCTTCTCAAACAAATCCCTAACCCTAGAAGCTCCCACACCAACAAAAAGCTCCACAAACTCAGACGCCGCACACGAAAAGAACGGCACTCCCGCCTCTCCAGCCACAGCTCTAGCCAAAAGCGTCTTCCCAGTCCCAGGAGGCCCCACAAGAAGACACCCTTTAGGTATCTTGGCTCCCAAGGCAGTGTACTTATCAGGATTCTTCAAAAAGTCAACAACTTCTTGCAACTCAAGCTTCGCCTGGTCGGCTCCAGCGACATCAGCAAAAGAAACACCAGTCTCCGGCACTTCCTGAAACTTTGACTTTGACCGTCCGAAATCCATCGGCCCACCTAACCCTCCAGGCCCACCAGGCCCACCTCCAGCTCTCCTGAACAGCAAAAAAAGCCCACCAAACGCCAAGATCGGGAAAATCAAGTTTCCGATGATTGTGAATAGATCGTTACCGGACTCTCCCTCGGAGACGGAGATGTCGACTCCGTTCATGGCCAAGATATCGATGAGATCGGGGTCGTTGGGGACGACGACGGAGGCGCGGCGGTTATCGACGGCGGTGAGCTGGAGAACGGTGCCGTCTTTGCTGAATCTGACTCTCTCGACTTTGCCCTTTTTGACGGCGTTGAGGAACTCGCTGTATCTCCATTGAGATCCGTCGGGGAGATCGGAGGATTGGGATGATTTAGGGTTTGGAGCGGTTATGACTTGGTTTTGAGAGAAGGGGGAGAGGGATTGAGAGGGGTTTACGGATTGAGCTTCGATGACGATTGGTTGGGTGGGGATTTTGGGTTCGTCTAAAGCTAAGGCCTTTGGGGATGCGAAGAGGAGAGCTGCTAAGGCGGCGCGTGAAGGTAGTGACTTTATGAGGTTTTTGTTGTTGTTGTCATCGAGGTGGAGAGAGGATCGAGTTGTTTGTCGGAAGGAGAAGGGGAAGGAGGGTTTTGTGGTTTTGGGAGTGGGGGAGGAGATTATGATGTTGGATCCGAAGAAGAGTGAGGAAGAGCGTAGAGAGGTTGAAGCCATTGTTATTACTCTGTTTTTTACTCTTTCTCTGTGAGAGAGAGAGAAGAGAGAGAGGTATAAATGAGAGAGGAGGAAGAAGAAAGGATTTTTACTTTCTATGATTTCTGGAGGAAGGGATTGAAACAGCAACCATATCCTCTAAGTGTTTCTGCTTCCTCTACGTAGGTGATTCATATCCACAGGTTCAGTGGATTACAAAATTACAAGGAAAGAAAAAAAAAAAGTCTCGCCATTTGTCATTCAAGCCCAAACTCTTAACTTAACCCAAACCCGTATTCCGATCCGATTGTAAAATGGTGTTCCCTTTAAGTTATGAGTATTATCAGAATTTATGGATATTCGATTTATTAAAAAAATGTATTAGATATTAGGAAAATCAAAATTTAAATCTATATTATTATTCAAAAAAAAAGGTTATAGTATTATTTATGATGTGATTTTCTCTAAACTCTCAGTTAAAATGGTTACAAACATGATACAATTAATAAATAACTAGCTTTATATTATTTAATTAACCATAAATCTATTTATTGATAAATTATTGTTACCTATTTTTATAAAAATATAAAAAATAAGTTTGTGTATATATTTATCGAGTAAATAAATAAAAAATTATCGTTATCTTAATTTGTTTTTTTTTATAAATTATATAAAACTAATATGTATGATACGAGGGAACTCAATCTCTATGTATTTGAAATAACATATAAAATATATTTAAAATCTAAAAAAAAATTATAAATACACAAATTTTATGCTTATGAGTATATAAAATATTTAAATCTAAAATATTATTAAATGAACCCAAAATAGAACATAATCTACTCTATTAAAATAGAGTCATTCTTTTTATCTACTAATACAAGTTGTCATTTAATTTTGGACATTTTCTAGAGTGTTACAAATAATACAAAACATATAGTTAATTGAACCGTATTACTTAAATTAAACCGGTGGTTATTTATGGGATATAGTCTTGGGCTTTCTTTTCTTTTTAAAACAAATTATATGGTTTGGTTTTTGGGCTTAGTATTAAGGAAAATTCCAAAAAACATTGAATAAACTTTCCACCTTACTAGATAAAAAAAATCAATTATTATTTTCAAACCCAAAATTTAATATTTTTAACAAAACAAAATTATCTATTATTAATCATTTATTTAAATCATGTACTTTAAAACATGTTAATGTATTTTTTATTTTAAATAACAATCATTTTTTGATAAATTTCAATGGTAAATTTTAAATAATTTATTGTTTTATTTTTCTTAAATAATTTATAGATTTTTTAAAAAAATATGTAAAGCAAAACCAAAAGCTAACTCTAAAAACTAAAATCCAAACGAAAAGCTGAAAACGAAGGTTATATTTTTTGCTTTTGTTTATTTACAAAATAAACTATTGCAATTTTTTTAAAAAAAAATTGTCATATTTTCAGTTTTAAATTAGATGTTTGATTATTTGAGATTTGTTTGTTGGTAATATCAGTTCAAACTAACTCAGCGGGTCTAAAAATTAAAAAACTCAAACCAAAATCTGAAAATCAAAAATATAAACTTAAAACTAAAAACCAAAAACCAAAATTTTAAAACAAAATTTAAAATTAAAAAATGAAACTAAAAACTAATGAAAAACAATCATCACCACAAACTTTGGTGAATTGATTTTATACCAAAAAATTATTTAAATTAAGACAAAACTCAATTATATAAATTTTTAATCATAAAAGATTTATGCGCTTTCAAGCACAAGTCAAAATCTAGTTGAACTTGAGACAGAATTACAAAATTTATCCGAATCACGTTATAGATAAAACCCGAACTAGGTATAGAAGGTTGAATCAAAAACACAAAACTCTGACCCCAACGTTCAGCCCTAAAAGACTACTTTTCCATCATCTATCGTAGAGTTAACGTAAGAAAATGTGGAAGATACATTTAAAAATACACACTACATTACATACACAACACAAACACACATTCATATATATATGAAGAAAAGTAACCTCCCACAAGAGTGAAGTGTACAATAGATGAGAGCTTGAGAGCCTCCAAGTCAAGAGGACTCATCACCTAGCAGCTGGAGCTAAGCTGTTTCTTGAGATGTCAGGGCTCTCTATCTCAAGGAAGCTAGTTAGCAACGTCTTACGAGATGATTGCGGCTTTGAACTGCTCGAACTCGATGACTTGTGCCCATTCTCGTTTCCTCTCTCGATCCTGACCGCTTCTTGTATCGCCACTATCACTTCCTGCATCCTTGGCCTGTTATGCCCACGCTGCTCAACGCATTGGTTCGCCACCTCTGCTACTCTCCAGATTGACTCGATCTTCACGTTGCCTACTATACATGGATCTATGATCCCGTACACGTCTCCTTTACGGATCAGTGACCTCGCCTGTATTGGTGAACAAACAAAGGTTTTGTGGTTTATGAATCTTGTGAAATGTCAAAAATTTCAAATGGAAAGAACATGTAGAGGTGTTTACCCAGTGAACTATATTAAGTTCAGGACCGAAGTCTTCAGCTGAGACTGGTTTCTTTCCAGAGAGTAACTCAAAGAGAACAACGCCGAAACTGTAGACATCGCTCTTCTCAGTCAGCTGCTGACTAGCATAGTACCTGTCACAACAATGCAGTATCAGTCATATTTCAGAAAAAAATAAGATACTGTTTTTTTTTTGAGATGTGTGTTAGTGGCTTTACTCTGGATCAAGGTAACCAACGGTCCCTTTTGCGACACTGGACACATGAGTCACGTCTTCCTCTGTCTGCCTTGAGAGTCCAAAGTCAGATACTTTGGCTCTCATGTTAATGTCAAGAAGTATATTGCTTGATTTCACATCCCTATGAATGATACTAGGATTGCAGCCAGTATGCAAGTATTCAAGACCTGTAATAATCTGAAGTTTGGTATGTCTAATGGATTCATATTATAGCCACATAGAAATATAAAATCTTGAAATTTCACTTCAAACCTTTTGCAGCATCTTGTGCAATTTGTAGCCGAGTTGGCCAGTCCAATGGCTTGTAGTCGTTTGTACCTGTCAAGGATTGATTTCACGAGTCATCAACCGAATAAAAATCCAAGCTTAGGAGGAAGAATATACCGTGTAAGTGATCTCCCAAGGTTCCATTGTGCATATATTCGTAAACCAATAGACGCCGATCTGCTTCTTCACAGTATCCAATCAAAGGCACTAAGTTTCTGTGGTGGATTCTTGATAACAGAGCAACCTGACACGTTTGTCCCAGTTAAATCATCCGGAATAAGTTGATAGGTGCGAATGAGTTAATACCTCAGTCACAAATTGTCTGTTCAAGTGACTAGAAGGATCAGCCGTTATCTTGACTGCAACTTCTTTCCCATCTTTCATCCTACCATAGTAGACAGACCCAAAACTTCCTTTTCCAACTCTCTTGGAGAAATTGTCAGTGGCCTCTTCAAGGATAGGAAGCGATATGAAATATGCTACACCTTCATCTAACAAGTGCCCTCCCCGAACAGCTGAAAAAGCTGCCAAACCTTTTTTCTTATTCCCCGTGGAATTACCTGAAGAAAAAACATGAGTAAGACAACCCTCCACTTCGAGGAAACCTGATCACAGTCAAGACCTATATAGATACCTTTATCAACACTTTTCTTCTTCCGGAAGGCACAGAGTAAAAGAAGACCTCCTCCAGCTAGCAGCAATAGAATTGCAACAGCTGCTATTGATATCCCTAGTATCAGCCAATAGTGCTTTTGCTGTGCCTCGTTCTGAAGCTCTGGATTATTACTATACCTGGAGAAAAACGTTGTTATAGCCACGTGTTAGCATATCAGGAGGGAGCTCTTTCAGCAAAATAGACACTTTAAACTTTGGTATCCTTATTTCACTTCCTGCATTTATACACAAGATTGTCCCAACAGTCGTGTTGAACTGAATCTGTTCATATAAAGTAAAATCTATCTTTCCATGCAAATGCTGAGAATCTATGAGCTTTTGTGTTCGACAAATCAACTCGTAGCATACTCACTTGAACAATATTTTCCCCTTTAGCAATGCTGAAGGAATCGTTCCTTTGAAAGAGTTATTTTCTACAAACCTGCCAGATAATAACATTTGTTTAAACATCCATGTATATAGTGCATAATTACAGCCAAAGTATCAGTATAAGTCAACCGCTAAAGCAATCAAATTTGTGACTACTTACAGTTCTTTTAGGTTTGGTAGATGGCCAAGGTATGCTGGGAGTGAGCCACTAAGTTGGTTGTTTTCTAGATGCCTGTAGAAGATACGAAGCAAAGTAAAGCTTTCTGGTATTCGAGTATCTTCAACTACAAGGGAAATATTGGTCAAGATTGGCAAGCTTACATGATTTTCAGGTTGACAAGTTTGCTCAGGTCCGGAAGGATTCCAGTCAAACCGTTACCATCAAGCCGCCTATACAAAAACAAGTTAACTAAAGAATGACGGAGAGACAAAGAGAGACTAATCCAAGACAATAACGTTTAATGCACAGCATAAAACCACTCACAACTCTGTCAATGCCTCCATGTGATTGATCTCAGGCAGAATCTCACCCCTCAGATTTTTTCTTGATAGAGCACTGTTGTTAGACGCACATAATTGGGTCAATATGCATCATCTCAAGGATAAAATTTCATAAACTCTGTCTCCTTATGTATCTTACATTTTCGTGACTCTAGGTGGTGAGGTTGAGCTACAGCTTACCCACGACCAAAGAACTGGGATACAAGGGTCTCCTCCTTCATTGGCCCAATCGCTATCAGGAGACATCGAACGAATTGCATCAAGAACAGACGCTGCAGTAATATAAGTAACAAATTTTGAGTTGCATGTTTTCAGCAGCATCATAAATGAGCAAACAATATAGAGAAAAAAAATTTACAAGGCAGCAAGCCTCTAGTACTCACCATCATTCTTATCAGTTTTCACAGATATTTGTAGATACTTGCTAATTTCAATCGCATTTAGGAGTGGCCCTCGTGTAGAATCCTTTGTCTTCCCGAACGAGAATGACAAAACAAAATCAAAAGTCACATTCATGTAGCTGGGTTCATAGAGAGTGTAGCTACCATTGGCATTCTCAGCGATATTCACCACTGCATTACTATAACCAGGGAAATACGGTTGCACCAGCTGAAATTTCCGGGTTTCATTAGCTTTAAGGTCTTCAATTTCAGCAAAGTAAGCATATGCTCGAGCATTGGCAGGGAAGTCTTCCAGGTTTAATCTATAGCTGATCATTCCTTGAGTGCCAACCACTGCTGTCTGCATGACTTTCATAGGAGGATACTCTCTGGTCAACGTATTCACAGGCTTTGATGTATTGATCCTAATCGTTCCAGGAGCTACACCAACAAGATAGTTTGGCCGTCTATTAACATCTGACTCCCAGATTCTGTCATATGGATCATCTGGGTACCTAAAAGAGAAACTCTTTCAGCATTTTTCATGCTTGTGAATGATGTTACACAAAGAAGAGCTTTTACCTCAATGCATCCATGCTTGGAGCACCAAAATTCACCCTAGCAGCAACCTTCAAGAAGAAATTATCTTCATAATCAGTGGCATACATGGAAAGGTTCAACGGTCGAAGCTCTAGAGTAGACATGAAAGGAGAGCCGGTGATAGCACAACACACACACACATCCACATAACTTGAAGTTGCCCTCACTATCAACTCCTCAACATATACCCTAGAAACATCTGTAACACTCACTGTAGCCCATCTCGTTGCATCTAAGTAGAGCTGAAACTTCGGGTAGGCTTCTTCACTTCCCAAACTACCGTAGAGAAACGTTGTTCTGACAATGTATCTCCTCCTCTCTTTGGTGCTGAGCCTGTAACAATACTTCTTGTTATCCGTTGGAAAATCTCTTCTCCTACTATACTGCATAGAGCTCGAATTGGTACTGGCTAAAGTTACTGGCTTTCCGTGTGTGATGATCTCTGAATCTGAAACCCATCCTAGTCCAGTTTTGGGGTCTGTGTAGTTACTTGACCCACCACAATCTATACTTATAAACTCTGCAAAAATATAGTTCATTCATCAAAATTACATCTATTTTCCACAATTGATGGTATAAGATAAAAGCTTTGTGACAGCACATCAAAAACATCAAGAAAAAATAGAAAAAAAACTCTTTGGAGCATTTCAACGAACAGATTGTGAGCAAAGAGTGTACCTGTAACTTGAGACAGAACATGAGGTACTAGTACTATGAAAAAGCATGTTACAGCAAGTTGAGCTGTGCAAAGACCCATTGAAGATCACAGGAACATCGATGCTCTTAGATTTTCTACGAATCTAAATAAAAATATATAACAAATTCTTTTTTTCTGCTTTTGAGGGTCACGAGATTAAGGAGGAAAGCGTGTGAAGAGAATACAGTGAGCAAAGAGTTCAACTTTGTGTTTTGCTTTATTAGTGTAACAATGGTCACAGAGTATTTGTCTTCTTTATCTATTAATATTCGGATTAGCTTTTGCTTTTTCTTCATTCCGGAAATTAAAGGCATCAGTTTCACCTTTTCTGCTTTTCAGAATTGCTTTTTTGTTAAAGTGAGAGAGTGTCACGCACAACTTCCTCAAGAAACTTTAAATTCAAGTTTGAAAACAGCTCTCTATATTATTATTTATATAATTTAATCAGACAATATATATAAATAATTACATCTCAGGCCATCGAATATTTGAGAAATTAGCGAAAAGCCAAAGGAGTTTTTTTTTTTCTTTTTTTGGGCAAAAGCCAAAGGAGTATTTAACAAGAAAAAAAATGAAGCTAAGTGAGTTTTGGTTCTTTGAGGTTTGGTATTGGATTAAATTTTTAAAAGAAAAATTTCCAAACCCATTTTTCGGTTGTTTTTCTAGAGCAGAGATTTTATATGCACAAAGGCACTAGGATCGTCTTTTTGTTTTTTTCTTTTCATGACAACACATAAATTAACAGAATTGACTTACTGCTATAAGTTTCCTGCATTCTCCAGTTTCTTTGCAACAGCTCAACTGATAGGCTAACCTGAGAATGTGAATCACAAGAGAATTAAAAATACAAGAACGTGCAAACGAAAATCACTCGTTAATTGTCAGCCTAAGTTCATCAAGGTTCATAAGATTTAAGCTGGGCAGGCTCAAAAGAGACAAAAAAGTAGAGCTCAGGATGGTGGCTATTAACATCTGAAGAATCAGAGTAGATGCGAAGGACCCAACCTACGCTAAGCCTGTTTCTTCATAGCTCAGAACTGCACCAGCCGGGAATCGAACCCGGGTCTGTACCGTGGCAGGGTACTATTCTACCACTAGACCACTGGTGCTTTGATGTTCAAGGGCTAGAGTTAACGCATAATATACAAATGGAATAACAGAAACCTCTTTTACAATCCAACTATCATCTAATACTTGGTAAGAAAATGAAGGTTTTGATATCCAATATATAGGAAAGTGTCTTTTACAGCCCAGTATTAATAAGAACAAATGACATAGATTCACATAAAAGAAATAAAAAAAGGATGTGGAAAGTACAGTGAGGATTAGCAAATCAAATTCTTCTGGCCCGATAACTACATAAATTATTAACATATCACTTCAGCCCGATATTTGTACTTCTTTGGTACATATTTAGGCTCATTGGGTCACACCAAAATAAAAAATAATGTAATCTTGTATACATTATTTCCTGGGCTTATTTCTTTATTGCCTTTCATCATCTTTAGTCAACCATATAATGAGATGTCACCCAATTTCTTAGGTGTGTTTATGAAAAATGTTACATTTTATACGGATGTGATTGGAAAGCACGTACAAAAACTGGCATCATTTATAAGATGTTACCATCAGTTCGGTTCTGATATAGTTTTCATTTTTTTGGTATAAAGAAACATGGCTTGTTCTGATATGTATAAACATCAATGCAGTTTTTTTTGGCTTCGGTTAATTCGCCAAACCCTAACCACCTTCACATATGTCTGTCTAACATTTGTGAAAAATAAAAAGGGGATTAGTAATACCTCTGTCAACATCGGATGTGCCAAGTTTCATATTCACATGACAAAATGTAAAGAAACACGACACAAACTAAAATAAAATGACTATTAAGACAGAACAGAAGAGAGAGTAGTTAAGTCTGGTGGTTTTCAGCTCATCTACTTCCATCCACCTTCCTCTTCAATTTCTCCCTCTCTTTAAAACCTCTCTCTCTCCATCTCCATCCCCAAAAAATGGAGATCTGCACATACTTCAAATCCCAGCCCACATGGCTCCTCGTCCTCTTCACCCTCGGCTCCCTCCAAATCCTCAAATTCACCCTCACCCTCCTCACCACCCTCTACATCTACTTCCTCCGCCCCTCCAAAAACCTCCGCCGCTACGGCTCCTGGGCCATCATCACCGGCCCCACCGACGGCATCGGCAAAGCCTTCGCCTTTCAGCTCGCCCACAAAGGCCTCAACCTCGTCCTCGTCGCCCGTAACCCCGACAAGCTCAAATCCGTCTCCGACGCCATCAGATCCAAACACTCCAACGTCCAGATCAAGACCGTCGTCATGGACTTCGCCGGAGATGTCGACGACGGTGTGAAGAGGATCAAGGAGGCGATAGAGGGGTTGGAAGTTGGGGTTTTGATTAATAACGCCGGGATGTCGTATCCTTATGCTAAGTATTTTCATGAGGTGGATGAGGAGTTGGTTAAGGGGTTGATTAAGATTAATGTGGAGGGGACTACGAAGGTGACGCAGGCTGTGTTGGTTGGGATGTTGGAGAGGAAGAAGGGGGCGATTGTTAATATGGGTTCTGGTGCTGCTTCGTTGATCCCTTCTTATCCTTTTTACTCTGTTTATGCCGGTGCTAAAACGTAAGGAGTGTGTGGAATCAAAAACTTAATGCTTTGAGTTGTTTTAGGAAGTGATGTTTTTTTTGGTTTGCATGTTTTGTTTTTTTTTGGTGTTTTAGGTATGTGGATCAGTTCACGAAGTGTCTACATGTTGAGTATAAGAGGAGTGGGATTGATGTTCAATGCCAGGTGAAACTTTTGTGAATCAATTGCTGGCTTCATTTTGTGTCAAAATAGTGATATGAGAGTAGATTGTATCGCTTTGTGAGAACAATAAGTAAGATTAAGCAATGAGTAAAACCAAACTAAATTTTGTAAGAACAAAGAACGGTACTTTAGAAGGATCGTAGGTTAAGGTAGTATAACTGAATAATAGTGACATAAGTTTTGTCTGAAAGTGGAGACAAGATAATGTGTAGACCTCTGTTTCTTGAACCCATAGAAGACAGAGATGGTTGTTTCTTGAACACTTGAAGGTGCGATCTTTATATTTGTGCATGGTTTTTTACTCTGTATCTGTTTATTTAGTGGACCTAAAAAAGTTTGAAATTTTTGGTTTAAAGATTATTCTAGTTTGAAGCTATTTGATTTTTGCAAATGAGGTACTATAAGCAACACATGTCTCTTTGCTGAATACTTGTATATTTGTTGAGGCCGTTTATGTGACATAGAGAAGTAGGAAATCTAACTATATAATCATTTTTGGATATAGAATCCTAACGCCAGAGAGTATGTACTAACTGGTAACAGATCTATGAGCTAAATGTGAGAATTGAATACTACCAAAACAACTTAATGGCTCACACTGCTCTGTAAATTTATAATTGGGTGGTTGTGTTTCATAGGTACCCTTGTATGTTGCGACAAAGATGACTTCAATAAGAAGAGCATCGTTCTTAGTGGCATCTCCAGAGGGTTATGCAAAGGCAGGACTGCGTTTTGTAGGGTATGAAGCACAATGCACACCCTACTGGCCTCACGCCCTCATGGGTTATCTTGTCTCTTCATTGCCCGAGAGCGTCTTTGATTACTTTAACGTTAAGATGTCCCTCAAGATCAGGAAGAAGGGTATGCTTAAAGACTCCAGGAAAAAGGAATGAAAACTTTTTGAGAATGCAAACATTTTCTTCTGCAGCAGTTGGTTTCTTGAAAGTTTCTGTTTAGACATTGTAAGACTTGTATGCTTTGGTTTCCACTTTCCGATGTTGCCAAGGTTGTTTCCTTCTTTTATTAGTGTCAACTAATCATTCATGTCCTCTCTCTCTTTATTTATTTAAATAAAACTGAATGTTGGAAAATTAAAAAAACTATGATATGATGTCATACACTCCTAAGCCAACCAAACACAAGGCATTGAGGTGGCCAACGACAGGAAATGTGGTCCATCTACAAATTAATCTTGAGTCTAAGTAAAAAGTTTTAAAAACTCAACAACTAGCCACCGTCTATAGCAGCATGATCTAATCTACATTGTAGATCGTTTGAGTTGCTTAATCTCAAGTCTTTGAGCAAAGACTAATTGTATATTCGTTTTTGCCCTGTAAGATTTGCTTTTTTATTATTCTACAAACTAAAACTACCACCACTTTGCAATACAAAGACATTCATTCTTGCAAAGTAATGTGGAGATTGCAGAGTAAACACATTCTTGTACTTATTCTAGAGAAGTTAGGTTATACAACATATGCATTCAAACTTGCTTTGATCCCGCATGTGCATTATTACTATTCCGTTATGCTCTATTCGTAGTCTTGAATAGAAGAAGATCTTGTTTGCAGTTATGTAGGAAGATGAAAGACCGAAGATGCTCCTATAAGATTTGTATGTCCCATAGGCCGCTCTGGTAGTTTGGATGGGTTTTTTTTTCCAAGTGGAAAGAACAGGAAAGTCATCTAAAAAGTGAACTCCATGTGTAGGGTCGTTTGGAGTCTTCCTGAAAGTTATGAACTAATTCATATATGCTTTTTTGGAATCAAATTGGAGATTCATCTGCGTGAGTAGGTATCAGTTGAGAAGTTAAGACTCTCCCACAAATCATATTCATTTGATTATGTTTGTTATGAGTATATGAACACAAAATCTCTTGTATCTAGAAGTTCTGCCACCATCCCGTTAAGAAAATGGTGTTACCATAATTTAGAAGTACGAGGCTAACATTCGAATTTTTTAGTGTTTCATTTAAACAGTGGAGAGGTTTGTCTTTCTTGTACCAAATCCCAACATACCAAAGATCCCATCTTGGACTAAAAATCCAAGCTCCAGAAAAACTAAGGTTATGTTGCTAGTTTCAGACAAAGACAAACCTCTCTGTAGTTCAAACAGAGCACAAAAATAGTGAATATCAGACTCGTTTTCCTAGATCAATATGATAACACCGTCATTTTTCAATGGAATTGCTATGCAAAACCAGAAATCTATGTAATGGTGGTAGAGCTTCTAGATAGAGGAAATTTATGTTCAAATACTCAAACAACACAAAAACCAGACTACTATTTGTGGGAGAGCTTTGACTTACCAAGTGGTACTCTAATCCTGCAAGATGGAACTATGATTCGATTCAGGGAGAGCACATATAAATAACTTCCTAAGTTTCTAGAATAGCCAAGACGACCATGTACTTAAAGTTCACTTTGTAGATTTAGAAAGACCATCTAAATTATCAGAGCGGCCCATGGAACGAGATCAATTTTCTAGTATATTCTTCTTCGGTACTTCATTTAACAATGAGCAGAGAACAAATCATGTTTTAAACATAACTGCAAACAACATCTTCTACTTAAGACTACTAATAGAGCACAACGGAATATCAATACTGCACGTGTGGAATCAGAGCAAGTAGTTCATATTTTACTCACAAACTACTTAATGTTAGAAAGCTTTGGTGAAGATAATTATAGCACAAACAGAATATGTCAGTAAACCAGAAGAAAAAAAAACATGCAAAAATGTACAATGCAATGTGGTTATTGTTCATCTTTATTTCAGGTTTCGAACTTTTGATGTAGATTAGTTAATATAAGACTGTATTTACGATATGTTCTGTTGATGATTTTCAAACAAGGAAACCATATAAGAGCAAATAATAGCGGTAAAAAAAAATTTCTAGAGTTAAATCGAGTATATAGTAAGCGAGATATATAACAAGGATAATAGTCCAAAAACTTAAACATAAAACTGTCCACACAACACAGGATTAACCATATACTTGAATCCCAAGGAACGATGATTAATATTATTATATTATTAAAGGTTTATTCACTGAGACCTCATTTTGTTGAGTTGGTTCAAAGCCGGCTGCAATATATTGTAAAGAACCCAAAGCAGCGCCGGTGCAACCACGAACAACAACAACTGTCCCCTGTTATCTCCCGCCCTCTCGGCCGCCTCCACGGCTGCTACTGCCTCCGGCGGCGGCGTCAAGAGCCCTGCCGCGGCGAGACCACCACCGATGCCGCCGAGACCCACGACGACTCCTTTGCTCTCACGCATCTTGTTGATCTGGTTGAGAGCGGGCTGGAGGATGTTGAAGAGGACCCATCCGATGGCAGGGACGATGGGGAGGAGAAGCGCTAGGCCGCGGTTGTCGCTGCCTTGGGACGCGGCGGCGGCGGCGAGCTCGGAGATTTGGTGAGCGGCGAGAGCGGGTTCGGAGTGGCTGAGGGCTGAGAAGACGGCTCCGGCGAGGGCGGTGGTTGTGAGGGAGAGAGAGACGGTGTGTTTTGGTGGTGTTGGGAGAGTGATGGAGTGTTTTGAGGAGATGGGTTTGGTTTGGTATAGGAGCTTGGGAGGTAGAGACATGCATTTGGTTGATGTCGCCATGGTCGCGGCCATTGATGATCGGAGAGAGGTTGAAGATGAGAGAGAGAAAGAGAGAGAGAGGTTTGAGGAGTGAGTTTGAGAGATGGTTTTTTGGTAATATAGGAGGAGGATGATCAGTGGACGTGTGAAAGTCTTCTGGATACTTGGCTTAGCCAATGAGAAGAGAGTTTGAGATTTTGGTGAGATTTTGAGCCACAGATTCCATGTCACACTCTGCTTTTTCTTATCACTTCCCTCCCTCTTTGTCTTGGTTTAAAAAGTTCACATTTTAATATATTTTTACTATTCAAAAAAAAAGAAAAAATTTCACGTTTTAATATATTTTTACTATTTCGTTGCAAAAATATATGAATTATAACTCTTTTATTCTTTATTTTCAATACTCTGGATATTTTTTTGACATTATTTCAAGAGATAAATACTTAATTAAAATTGTCACATAATTAATTATTCGCAGGGGTTTTGCAATAAATACAAATTTACAAACTGTTGTTAAAAAAAAAAATACAAATTTACAAACAAACAATGGTATTGTTCTTTTGTAAAGATAAGTAGATGTTGCTGTTCTACATTTTCAAATTATGGAAATTTAAAATTATGGAATATATTAATTTTTTGGTCGGATTTCTTTGTTAATTTATCCCTTGTTTGTTAACTGTAAATGTAAATTTATCTACTTAGTTTATTTGATGCTAGTTTTGTTATGTTCTAAAATGATCGGGAAAGTTCGAATAATTGTAATTTTATAAATAAAAAAATACTAAAATTTATCATCTCTTAAAAATGTAAAACAAGTTTCAAATATTAAATTCTAAAATATTTATACGAATGGTATATAGCAAGTCTTCCATTGCTTGCTATGCTTTGGGTCATCTTTTACTATCTGATGTATTATTTTTTTTTTTTTGTCAGCTACCCATCATTGCAAGATCAAGTGGTGGTCAGACGAGCCGATCCTTGGGGGGAATCTCCGTGTGACCTGGTCTGATCTATATGGGAGAATATAAAACCTTTTTTCTTTGCTTCCTTTGCGAGTGCGTCCGCACGGCCATTCCTACAACGGGGAATATGAGACAGGCTCACAACCTCAAAAACTTCCATTGATTGTTGGAGTATCTCAATCTCTGTCGCGAAATTTGGCCAGTCCTCCGGGTTGGTCGCCATGTCTACAAGATCCGAACAGTCCGTTTCGATCCGTACCGCTAATATCCTCAAGTCTTGCAGGCACGAAACTGCCCAGAGTAGGCCTTCCATCTCAGCATGCAAGGCTGATCGGCTTCTGTTACATGCTCGTAGTCCGAAGCGTTCAGCACCCATGTAATCCTTACAACTCCATCCTAAGCCACTCACACTACCATTGTCGATCCAAGATGCATCGATTTGGCAGGTTGGGATTCGGGGAAGCCCAGGGGGTTCTGTCGCTGTCTCTAGTGAAGGGAGCACATGCACCTCCACCTCCTCTTCTTCCTCGCTCTCGTTTGCCTTCCTCCAGCATTCTGCCTCTAACGACGCATGTTGAAGGGTATCCATCGGGGAGACGACTTTCCCGTTGAAGAGTTTGTCGTTCCTAGCTTTCCAGATGAACCAACAGATCCATGGAAAGGTATCGAATTGTGGTCTCCGAGGAGCCACTTCTTTTCTCTTCCAAAAGAGGAAGTTTATATTTTGGTAAATAGATGTACTCGGGAAGTCACCCGGAATGGACGGGTAGTCCGATAAAGCCCAAACCTGTAGGGCTGGGGGGCACTCAAAAAGAAGGTGGTTAATCGACTCCACTGGGCCAGCACATCTAGGACAACTCCTATCGGTGCCCAGGTGTCTGTACGTGAGCCTCTCTGCTGTCGGTACACAGCCCGAGATAGCTTGCCACAAGAAATGTTTCATCTTGCTCGGGGCTTCTATCCTCCACACGTGACCCAGAAGGCCAGTGATACTTGGTTCGAGAACCAAATCCTGAGTAGGGCTCGTCTTGGTCGTCTGGAGCAGGTCATATCCAGTTTTAACCGAGTAGGTCCCTGTCTTTGTGTAATCCCAGATATATCCGTCCTGGGTATCGGAGTGTGACGGTCTAATCCCAAGGATCAAGGGAATGTCATCCGGCTGGAAATACTCCCGTAAAAGATGTATATCCCACTCCTTCGTATCATTCCTAATAAGGGCCTGAACGGGGAGTTGGGGAAGTCTGTATACAATATGGTCAGCAGGCCTGGGTGGACGGGCCACCAAATCAGGGACCCAGTGGTCACTCCACACCTTCGTATCTCGACCCGTACCAATCCTCTTTCGTAGTCCCAATTTCAGAAGTGGTTTTGCTGCCATAATACTTCGCCAACCATATGAAGGTGAGTATGTACGTCGATCATCCAAAGGAGAGGTATGCTTGTAGTACCTTCCTTTTAAGACGCGTGCCAGTAAGGAGTTTGGGTAGTGAATCAAGCGCCATAATTGTTTTGCAAGAAGTGCTAGATTGAAATCATGGAGATGACGGAAACCTAGTCCCCCTAGATTCTTAGGGGTACAGATCTCATCCCATGCTATCCAATGTAAACCTCTGCTGTTCTGCTTCGAACTCCACCAGAAGTTTGAAGTCGTACTACTTAGTTTGTCAGTGATGCCTTGTGGAATCAAATAGCACGACATTGGGTATGTTGGGACTGCTTGGGCCACCGCCTTAATCTGGACTTCTTTTCCCCTCTTAGAGAGGAGTCTCGATGACCAGTTGTTTACTCGCCCATTCATCCTGTCTTGTACATAAGAAAAGACTTTTGTTTTCGATCCACAGATGTTCTCAGGTAATCCGAGGTACATTCCCATGCCTCCTTCCGTCGAGAACCCCAATGCTTCCTTAATTTCTCTTTTTCGAAGGTGATCCACACGATTTCCAAAAAACATCGAGGATTTCGCCGGATTTAATTTCTGTCCCGAGGCTTTCCCATAAATATCAATAATGTCCATGATCTCTTTGCATTGGCTTACTTCAGCCTTACAAAAGAAAAGACTATCATCCGCGAAGAGGAGATGTGAGGTCCTTGGACTTGCTTGAGCCACACGGAGGCCCACGATCTTCTGTTCCGCTTCTGCACCGTTTAGAAGCGAAATTAAAGCTTCCGTACATAAGATAAATAAAAAGGGGGATAAGGGGTCTCCTTGTCTCAGGCCCCTCTTTGGAGAGATCCGCCCTCTCGGCTGTCCATTGACTAAGACTTGATATGAGACCGACGTAACACACCACATAATGAGGTCAACCAGTCGTGCATCAAAGCCCATCTTAAGCATCAAGGTTGCTAGAAAACTCCATTCCACTCTATCGTAGGCTTTACTCATATCTGTCTTGATTGCCATGAAATCTAGTCTACATCTTTGGTTGGTTCTTAGGGCATGGAAGTTTTCTTGTGCTATCAGGATGTTGTCTATAATCAAGCGTTTGGCCACAAAGGCTGATTGAGTGTCTGAGATCAGTCGTGGAATCAGCCTTTTAAGTCTCTTGCACAATAGCTTAGAAATAATCTTATAGCTAACATTGCAGAGGCTAATCGGTCTGAACTCAGACATGTCCCGGGGTTTCTTCTTCTTTGGTATAAGGCAAATATTCGTCTGATTTAGTAGTGGATCAAAACTTCCGGTCGCGAAGAAATCTCGTACCAGTCGAATAATATCATCCTTCATTTCATTCCAGAACTTCTAGAACAACTTGCTAGTCATACCATCCGGCCCGGGCGCTTTATCCGGGTTTATGTCAAAAAGAGCTTTTTTAATTTCCTGTTCAGACGGTTCCTCCAAGAGTAACCTATTGTCCGTTTGAGAAACTTTTTCCGAGATAAAGCGGAGGGAAGTGTTAACTTCCGTCGGCGAGGAGGTAGAGAAGAGGTCGCGAAAGTATTGAATAGCCACATTCTCCACTCCGATTTCACTCTCTACCAGCCTCCCTTGTTTATCCTTGATACTTATGATCCGATTCTGAGCTCTTCGTTGTTTCGTGGTGGCATGGTGGAATTTTGTGTTTCTATCCCCATGTTTATGCCATTGATCTCTACTCTTTTGTTCCCAAAAGGAGTTCTCTTCTTTAAACGCCAAAATTAGTTGTCTCCTTAAGAGTTCTAGTTCTTCGGTAGTGACGTTGTCATCCTCCTGAGCTACGTCAATTTTATTTTTTAGCTCTCTAATCAATACAGCAGAATTAGTCGGGGTATTCTTTTTCCAAGAGCTAATTTTTTTCCGACATGAGGTAACTTTTTGATGAAAACTCCGGATTGGAGTTTCATCAAATTGTCCCCACCCCGAGGTTACGGCTTCCTTAAAGCCGGGTTTCCCTATCCACCGCTTATCGAATCTGAAGTTTTTTTTTGTTTTCCGGATGATGGATTGGATTCTCGTAAGAACAGGGCGGTGGTCCGAGCCCCATAGTTGTAGGTATTCTACGATACTATTGGAGAATAGGGCGTGCCAATCCTCATTTGCAACCGCTCTATCCAATTTGCATTTGACCTTCCCGTTTTTCCTTTTCCCCACCCATGAGAAGGAATTTCCTTTGTATGGGAAATCGAGCATTCCGCAGTTTTCTAACATGATCCGGAAGGGCAGGAAAGAACACTCTGAGCGGCGTCTTCCTCCCCTCTTCTCATGATTTCCTGTGATCTCATTAAAGTCACCAGTCATGAACCATGCTCCATTTCGAGTCGTGCTGATACGTGATAATCGTTCCCATACCAAGTCTCGATATCTAACATCAGGATGTCCATAAACAAAGGTCATAAAAATTGGGTGTCCTTCAAGCCTAGTTTCAATATCGATCATATGTTCGTCTGCATATAAAATACAAACCGAGGGATCATCCATATAAAACAAAGCTAGACCACCGCTTCGACCCACCGGATCCACGGTACAAACATGGTCATATCCAAAAGAAACTTGCACATCTTGCAAAAAATCTCGATTGTTTTTGGTCTCCGATAGAAATAAAAACTTAGGTAAAAAACAGTAGTACAATTCATTAAGGTGTTCCTTCGTCAAGCCGGCTCCCGCCCCTTGACAGTTCCACGCAATTGTATTCATGTCGGAATTCTTGGTGGTTTATTGGTTCCCACCCTTGCTGGTTTGGTTTGGTTTAAAGGAGCCCCCTTTTTTTTTCCATGTTTGAAATAGAAGCCCGGCCCAAAGCTGGTGCAAAATCAGAAGCTGGCCCATTAGTGCCTTTTGTTGTTGGAGGTGATGTTTTTGTCAAGGCCCGGCCCATCCGAAGATTCCTCTTTTTCAAAGAGAGGCCTGCTCCAATTGGGCTTGGGTTGCCCTTTTTCTTTGACGTTGCTGTCGGTGTACGGACACGGCGAGCCTTGTCTTCCTGGTGCTCCGATTCCAAGCCTCCCGCAGCCTCTGTAGTCGCCGTCTCCGGACTTCCTCTCCACCAGCTCGGAGTATCAGAGGTTGTCGGTGCCTTTGGTTTCATAGATCCTTCGCCGGTATCATCCTCATCCTCCTCCAGTAACAGGTCCTCCTCATCCATAAGATCATCATCATCAAAATTATTATCTTCATTCATCCAATCTTCTTCTTCTATCTGATGTATTATTAAACTCGGTCATTTTCATATATCAAAATTTACCAAAGAAGAAGAAAGACAGAAAATTATTAAAGTGGAAGGGAAGAAGTACTGAAGGCTCAAACTGGACTTCAGCAGTCAGCACATTCCGTTTACATACCAAGTCCCACAACGTAAGAACTTAATATATATTTTTTACCCCTACCTCCACACCATGTCTCTCTAGCCTTGGAAACATCAAGAAGTATCTTAGCCAGTTTGGTGCAAATGAACGTGCAAGTAGCATGGCACCATCAACTATAGTGTACTCAGTGTCGGCCATGCCCCTGTGGCCTGTGTACTCTCTAGCTAACGCAACCATGGGCATCCATGCCCTTGAAAATACTTTGTGGTTCGCTTAGACATCGTTCATCCATCTTTCTTTCACCTAAAGCACATAAAAGTTATATGATGTTCGGTTGTTATTACAATTTTCCGAAAGATCATTTCCAGAGATAGAGTGCAAATATCTGCTCTAATTTGGAAATCAAATCATCGTATTTATACTACACAGTGCATTTCGTTTAGTTGGAAATGAAATCATCGTGATTTCTATTACACAATGCAAAGATTTATTCAGTTTTACCAAATTTTCTTTTTGTATAGATTTTTATTTTTTCGCTAGCGTTGTTATGATGTGTAGTAAATTTCTATTAAATCTAGGTTTTGATTCTTACAAATGCAGCTTCTACAGATTTATGGATGCTGAATTAATCGCAGATCCTACAGTAAATAGAAGCATTTGTCATAATCTTGAGTATTGTAGAAAGATTTATATGATAGATGTGGTGCATATACATCTGTTCATCGTGGATATATGAGTTATTGAACTCGATAAACTGTTCATCATCTAGAATAACATTATTTATGTAAATAATATGCATCCGCCTTGATCATTTAGGCGTTATTCCATATGGTTAATCACTAAAGGTTCATCTAGCTTATTCATTACACATCGAAAGAAGAAACGATTCTTTCTCACCTTTGGTGAATGTGGTAAAAAAGAAACTATGGACTTGGGCTTTTGTAGACAAGTGGACTTGTAAATATTTTAATTTTTTATCATCTGTGGACGCTGACACCTCTAATCGCTTTTGTTTGTGGAAAACGTTTAAGGGGATTGGATTGTGTGTAAAAAAGCTTTCCTCAATATCTTCTCTTCTGTTTTCCATCCCAAAACGAAAGAAATGAACAATCTCTTTATCTAGAAATTGACGGAGATTTGAACGACTCCTTCCTTCTCTCTGATTCACAACCTCTTGCTCCAACTTCCCCAAACTCTGGTAAATTTTTAATGATCCGATCAACGATCACGATCTCCAGGAAACAGAGAATCTTATGTTTATGTTTTGTCTTTTTTTAATCAGACTGATCGGTTAATATGCCACTAACCATTCTGATCTGTGTTTTGTTTTTAATCAGTTGTAAATCTAATGATCTCTTGTTTAATCTTTTTTTTGTGATCTTTATTGCCTTAAAACATTAACAGCATCTCTGCCACCAATTCATCAATCACGATCGGTTTTTAATCGTCACTACTTACCATCAAAGGTAGTTTTTTTAAGTCACCAAGTTTCTACATTTATCAATGAAACTAACTTAAAAAAATAAAACTCAAGGTTATGTCTTTTTATATAAATCACAGGAATTGAACAATGCACTTAGTTTAATAATATGGTTTTACTGATATTCAGTGAGTTTTACATTAACATTAGGCTTGGGGGCTCTGCAAAAAACAAGAGCAGTGCCCAATGGATACTACTACTACCACTAGTACATCAAATGGTATTACTAGCCCTGCTTCTACGACGCTACAACTCCATAGTATTGAGAATAATCCCATCACCGCTATGGAGTTGTCATTGCCTTCCTTTCTATCTCTGAAACGACACTGTTTTGGAAACTCTGCTCCTGGAGAGTTCTTCTTGGCTTCTTGTCCTTCCATTGTCCTTCATCTTCTCACTACTTGTGATTTGTGTCCTCGTGACCTTGCCAGACTCGAGGCAAGCTATCATCATTATGCTCTTTCTTGTTTTTTTCATATAGTTTCTGATTTTTTTTTTCTTTTGTTTCCTCAGGCGACGTGTTCCTTCTTTAGGAACCCTGCAAACTTCTCTCCAGACCTTCAACTATCAATCTCAGAGGTTGCAGCGTTAGACATTTGCCAAAAGAAGGCGATATTTCAACGCATGGGAGAGGAAGACCGGCAAGAGATCAAAAGGAAATGCGGAGGCTCGTGGAAGCTTGTTTTAAGGTTCTTGCTTGCTGGTGAATTAGGTTGCAGACGGGAGAAATCACAAGCACTTGCTGGTCCTGGTCACAGCATTGCTGTGACATCAAAGGGTGTTGTTTACTCTTTTGGATCTAACGGTTCTGGACAACTCGGACAAGGAACTACTGATGACACTTGGCAGCCTAGACCAATCAGGTTAATTCACGTCACTTCCTCTGATTATTTAAGTTTTGAAGCTGTAGTTAATGTTGAAGTGGGGTATTGTGTTTTGCAGATCACTATCCGGGATCCGGATTATTCAGGCAGCTATTGGTGCTGACAGAACAATGTTAATAAGTGATGCTGGTGAAGTTTATGCATTTGGGAAAGATTGTTTTAGCCAGCCTGGTTTAGAAGACCAAGAAACTAAAGTCATCACAACTCCTCAGCGAGTCAAGTCCTTGACGGAAATCTTCGTGGTTCAAGCCGCTATAGGATATCACTTCACAGCGGTTTTGTCCAGAGAAGGGAGAGTGTATACATTATCATGGGGAAAAGATGAGAGACTTGGTCATGGAACAGACCGTAACTGTGTGTTGCCTATTCCTTTGTTAGGTGCCTTGGAGAATATCCCGGTTGTTCAAATTGCTGCTGGCTTTTGCTATCTCCTTGCTCTAGCATGTCAACCGACCGGCATGTGAGTCCCACTCTATGTTCTTAACCCGGTTAACATGTGCTTTACTTTTCTTTGCTTGTGCTTAGGTCGGTTTACTCTGTTGGATGTGGTTTGGGTGGGAAGCTTGGGCATGGTACTCAAACCAGTGAGAAACAGCCTCGGTTGATAGAGCAGTTTAGTCTTTTGAAGATGGAACCGGTTATTATCTCAGCAGGGACATGGCATGCTGCTGTGGTTGGGAGAGATGGGAGAGTCTGCACGTGGGGTTGGGGTCGGTTTGGCTGCTTGGGACACGGAACAGGAGAGTCAGAGCTAGTTCCCAAGGTGGTTGAGGGACTAAAAGATGTTAAAGCAGTCCACGTCGCCACGGGAGATTACACAACCTTTGTTGTGTCTGATGATGGTCAGGTTTACTCATTTGGTAGTGGAGAATTCGCCAATCTTGGTCAGGTAAAGTCTTTGTGTGTGTGGTCTTGTTTTCGGTGTTGAGACAATGGTTTTGAATTTTCATTTTTGGGATTTTAGCAGGGGGATGAGGATGATAATACTCTGACACCAAAGCTGGTTACGTCGTTGAAGGAGATAAAAGAGCGTGTGGTTCATGTGAGTTTGACAAACTCGATAGCGTGGGGTGGTCATACATTTGCAATGACAGAGTCAGGGACGGTCTATGCGTTTGGGACAGGGGACAGAGGACAGCTCGGAGTGGAGCTTGGTGATAACTTGACGGAAAGAGCTGAACCGGCTAAAGTTGTCGGTATTGATCTTTCTTAAGAGTATTTGGAAAAGAAAACCCATCTTCTTAGGTTAGGTTTTGCATCATCATTGATCTTGGTTAGTAATGTTTTTAATGAAGTGGTTGTACATAGTAAGTTAGTAACATGAATGACATTTAAGGATTGTTAGATGGTTTTATTTTACTTTTGTTAGTTTAACCGACGAAATAAGGAAACAAATAAATGTTTCTTTAGATATTCTGCTTTGCAATTTTACATTTTGGCGCGTTTAGCGTTTTTTTGTAAATTGCAGTTGATGACAAGTATTTGAAAACATGAACATACTCAAGGGGAGTTTTGACTCATGTTACCGAACGCGTACAAGTATTTGAAAGTCTAAAGCACACAAAAAATTACCGTTTCAATATGCATAACCAATCATAGTAACATGAGCCAAACTCATGACTCAAACTCCAACCAAACTTGTACGTTTCTGATTGTATATAGTTTGGTTTCAATAGGCATAGTCATCATACTACTATACGGAGTAATAATTATGCCAACGCGTACTAAAGTTGAAAAGTTACCTGTTGACTTAAGATAATAGTCATCATAACTATCTAGGTAATTAGTAATTAGTGTCATAACTTAATATGCCATTACAAAGATTAATCATTAGAGTAGTTGACTGTAATTTTGCATTCATTTCATACTGAATCACACATGATCCAATCATTTCGGGGTTTGACATTTCCTTAAGTAAATTTTTTAATAGTTCTTGAAATTTCTGTTGTAGCTTTGCAACTGTCGTATGCACTATTTATTCATAGAATCTGAAAGAACATACTGAAACCTGGAGAATATATACAGCTTTCTCCCTTTCATTTGATGATTTTCGTTACAAAATCTCCCTGGAACCCAACATTCATTACCTGGCTAACCCCGTGATGTGTAAATTACTAAAATTAGCAAGGGTTATGAATATTATTCCCAAAGAAAATGTGCAGTATAGTACTACTAGTGTCCAAAAAAGTACTACTAGTCTACTAGTATAGTTGAATGGGTCCATACCTTAACTAGACGGTCTACATCCGTAATAATTATCAAGTATTAGTATACAAACGAATACTGATATTCAACAAATTAAATGGCTGACTATTTTGTTAATCGAACAAACTGGGAAACCACAATTTAACAAGTCATTAAACATTCACATAAACACAAAAGGATGCTTTTACAAATGATGTTACAAGTGTATTAGTATATCTTTTGACAGCACGTCTAATATTTTATCTAAATATTTTACAATATCTAGAAGGGAAGGGTAAGAATTCATTTTTATATAAAAGTTCATGGTATGAAATGTCAATAGCGATATGAGAATATCATCATGATTAGCACATGGCTGCCATGTGACTCCCCATTTTGTGTCACCATATCTTCAGGGCTCTCATCTATTCATGAATATGTCCGTACTATATATGTTATGTTTGGCCTTTTATATATAGTTAGTTATGATATATGATGAATGTTTAACAGTATATTATTCGGTAACAGAATATTGGGTCTAATCATTTGTATTTCTCAATGATTAGAATACGTTTTCGTGTATTTAAATACTTGTTTTACCCGTTTGTCCAAGCCATTGCATTCCGCGTATGTATGTTGACCGTTAACGTATAATACCTAATCGTTCGTAGTTGACAATAAAGCTAAGCTTATGCCAAATTAGAACTTATCTAATAATTTAGTTAATTGATTTCAAATTCTAGACTCCCTAATTAGCTAATCTATTGCAGTAGTTTATAAGGACCCTACGCGTATACCTTAAGTTATCTTATTAAGAGGTCGTTAGGTCCTTTACTTTAAGGCAATTGTATTTTTTAACTGTTTTAATAGTATAGATATGCATTTGTGATTGATCCTTTCATAATGAAGGATATATCATATATGTTTAAAATATCCATTTTGGAAATTATACTGTAAAGCAAAAATTATACAAAGATTTGATTAGAACGTATACAGGTTGATGTTTTGCCGTATATAGAGAACACGGGTCTCCAGTTTTCTTTAGAGACATGACAATATCTCTTTATATGTTTGTACTGTGGTTCCAATTAACTTGGATGAAACTATCTTTGAACAAACTTGAATAGTAAAAGACAAACCATATAAATAACAATGCCATCTCCGAGCCGATCACTGGAAAAGCAAGATGAACGAATCATAATTTCTGAGAACCATTTGCTGGTTGAGAGCTTTTCTAAATTAGGGATGGTTGTGAGCTTTTTCAAAATGTTTGTTTAGTAACCCCAAAAGGTCGAATGATTCCACAGTACTGCATTACATTTGTTTGTTATATCACAACATTCCAAAAATTTATGTGAAATTTAAGCTTCTTTCACTTTCATTCCCAAGATTATGTTCCAACTTTTATGATTATGTATTTATGAAATTACGCGGTGTTGCCCTTCAAGCTCAAACTGGTGGTGTGGGAATGGCTAGTGGCATATGTAGATTGGAGGGCTGACGGTGGAGGGATGTTAGTAATGAACGGTCAAGATGAAACCCATGATTGCAGGGTGTGGCCAGACAAGGCTCACATGGACGAACATGACCTTTAAGTGGTTATCCACGTCAGCCACTGTCTCAAATCCAAAACCAAAATCGGTTTCCGATTAAAGGATCTGGAATCGGAAACCGGTTCGATGTGTCCATTCTCAGAAAATAATTGGGTTTATGAATTATTAATAATTGGTAGGGGAAATGGATGGTCCATTAATCCATTGTCATAATTAACTCCTAATCATTCAGAAATGTGTTTTCGATTCCGAAATGGAAATTTCAGAAAACATAATTTGAGATTATTAAATAGACCGACAAATGTAAGCGATTACAATTTTCCTTAAAGCTAGATAATGTTTTCTTTTTACATCATAAAGTACTATGAAATGTTTTGTGTTTCAGTTCTAGCCAAAGAAAATAAAAGGATGGTAGACACGTGATCAAAAAACTAAGAAGTAACCATGTATTACCGACAATATACACGTAGCAAGGCAGTCATCCATAAAAGAAGCTTAAAAGACAAAAAGACAGAGAAGTTACAGAGATAATAAATTTACTGTGACAAAGGTTGTGGAGAACGTTTTAAACTAATCAACTATAAATAGTCGGAATATTGCCCAAAAAAAAATCGGAATGTAAAGCGAACCAAAGATTTAAGCTAGAGAGTAAAAACTAAATAGTTTAATAAAAGAAATTAACAACAATTTGTGTATACTAATTGGAGGTCATAATGTTTATATATACTCCTTCCGTTTCATATTAAGTGTCGTTTATAGATTTTTTTCGTTACAAAATAAGTGTCATTTTCAATTTTCAATGCAAAATTTATTAATTTTATTCTGCAGTCTATTTTTCTATTGGTTGATATACGGTTAGGTGTATAGGTAATTGTGTTTTTATATGAAAAATATGCAAAATTAATGGTTTCCTTAATCCGTGTGCATAAACCTAAAACGACACTTATAATGAAACAGAGGGAATATGATACACTGTAACCGTGTATCACTTTATTGCGACTGTGTTGTATGTATGGTCTTCATATAGTGGTAGTTGCACATTTGCATACTTCTCATTGTTGTCAATGTAGTTATCATAAAGTTAAATTGTCTTAATTAAGCTTGATAAATCCTACAAGGGGAAAAAAAATCACCAGTACACTGGAGAGTACAATACATATCCTATATGACATTTTATGCAGTAGTATTGACAAAATAAATACAAGTTAGACGATGCATGAAAATATATCAGTTGAGAATCATCATTGGCCGCGCGCGCAATTGAAGTTGGTTTTATTTTTATCAGCACTTTTTTCCTCAGTGTGAACAACATTGTTTTATTAAAAAGGTACATTTACTGCACAGCAAGGATCACAAAAAGGGATTTTTTCAAGAAAAACTCAATAGTCTTTTTGGGGGATAAAGAGAGGCATGATCACTACACTAGTCATAAAGAAAGTTAAACATTAATACCTTATCTGTACACATGTTATTGTAACAAAATGTATGTATCTTCAAGTTCTTCAACAAATTACTCAAACACAAAACGAACATGTGTTTACGCAACAATTTTTTTTCTTAAAAGAAAAAAAATCTATCACGTCCCTTAATTTTAGCCAAAATTTTGCAATAAATTCCGCATTATTATGTTATTACGAAGTCTAATCATATTAAGAATTGCATCACCGTAGTTAGTCAAAACATCATTCTTCAAATATTCATATTATATTATCCACTTGACATGTGTACATATGCGCTTAGAATATCCGTGAAATTAACCAAAATAATTGAGAACGTGGAACTAGAAAAATCAAATTTCTTTTCTAGTTGTTAGAAACGAAACTTTACTTGTGCTTGTGAATGCTAACACTTCACGTGAAAGTATGAAACCAAATTAGCAATAGAACACTTTAGAGTATAAGACAAAAGATTAGAACTCTTGAATTGTATCTTGCTATTGCTTTGAAACCGTACAAAACTATAGAACTCTTGGGTCTTATTTATAACCCTTACACATTCCTATGTTNTTGCTATTGCTTTGAAACCGTACAAAACTATAGAACTCTTGGGTCTTATTTATAACCCTTACACATTCCTATGTTCTGTTGTATTTAAGACAAATTCCTAAACCTATTTGTCTTTGCCTATAACTAACCGACATCATCTTATCTTGCAGGTTGCAGAAAATAGGCCCAACAAGGTGAATTGTGGCCCATCCGTTAACAAACTCCACCTTGGGCCCAATTCACTTTATCTCCTTTGTGTCTCTTTCTTCGTTGATGTCACCGTGTACCGTCTAGAGCTCTCTTACTTTCTTCCATGGATTGCGACGATCTTGGTGATTTCAGATGACGATGGCTTTCATTCGAACCGATCCTTCTTCAAGGGTCTTCGATCCATCGTGATGTCTTGAAGTTTCGATTAAGATCATTCATGCGCCTAGAATCAATCATCGATGTCTATCTCTCACGCAGTGTTTCCTTCTTCGATTTCTCCTTTACCATAGAGGAAGTCGCGACCTTCTTCTATCTAGAGTCGATAAGAACTTTACTTGAGATATAGACACTTTCGGTGAGTCTTTTTACTTGATTCTCCGATTTAGATCTTAAATTTTCTCTGCATGTCATTTTGATGATGAAACCCTGTTAACTTCTTCAAACTTTTTCTGATCAACTTACGCAGCTACTCCGGCGAACCTAGTTGCCTTCCTCCGCTGTCTTTAGGAACGAACACTGTCTCCCTTCAGCTATCCGTAGCTGTTTA